CGTGTAGAGAGCACGGATTTTCTGCTCGCGAGCGCATATGAGCGCGAGTTTTGGCACTAATTTAGTGCCATACATCTGCCTCACACTCAGCTGCAAACCACCCCAGTGCATGCTGTGGGTCACCAGTCGACAAAGCCAACAGGACCACATCTTCTGCAAAAGGCGAAGATGTGATGCTGAGGCCTACAATCCGGACCCCCTCCTCCCCTTGGTTATGCCTAGAAATTCCGTCCATAAAAATTATGAACAGAATCGGTGACAAAGGGTAGCCCTGATAGAGTCCAACAAAATTAAGGATGAATCTGTCTGCTGGCAATAAGAACCAAACTCTCGCTCCATTTGTAAGGTGATCTGATGGCCCGCATATTCCTGGACCACATGCACAGGACCCCCGAGGGACACAATCATAGGCGTTTTCCAAGTCCACAAAACACATGTAGACTGGTTTGGCAAACTCCCGTGAACCCTCCAGTAACCTTGTGAGGTGAAGAGCTGGCCAGTGTTCCGTGGCCATAGCAGAGTCCGCATTGTTCCTCCTGGATCCAATGTTTGAACAAAGGGCGAACCCTCCTCTCCAGTACTCCAGCAGACCTTACCAGGGAGCCTGAGGAGTGTGATCCCCCTGATGTTGGGACACATCGTCTGGTCCCCTTTCTTAAAGAATGGGACCACCGACCCAGTCTGCCAATCCAAAGGCACTATCCCCAAAGTCCATGCAATGTTGAAGAGTTATGTTAGCCAAGACAGCCCAACAACATCAAGAGTTTTCAAGAAAGGGCGAATCTCATCCACCCCCAGACCTTTACCATCGAAGAGTTTTTTGACTACTTCAGTGACCTCAGCCCTAGAGATGGGCAAGTCCCCCTCTGAGTCTTCCAGCTGTACTTCCTCCAAGGTTGGATTCAGGAGATCCTTCATAGATTCTTTCCACCACCTGACTATATATAACACACCCTGGATGTGTTGCATGTAAATGACTCTTCAGTGCATTCTACCACTGACGTAAATGCTTCTAATTGCATTTTTCACTATAGGCGCTCTAGAGGGCTCTAGTAAGTCAACACAACATTGAATATTGCAGTGTTCAGAAAGCCGAACATGCAACAAAATGAAACTTTTTACATTTATTATACATTTAGAAAGAAATGTTACAATCCACAAGCACTTACGTCAGGGCAGAATGAGCGTAACGGCCATTTACATGTGACACACCCATACTTTGTTGCTCCTCCATCCAAAGTGCATATCTAGCCTGTTTGCGCATAAACCTCAGATTTAAGTCGATGGGAGAATATGCTTAAGTGAAAAAAAGGTTTTTTGATGTAAGTGAATGAGATAATCAACCCCTATGTCAATTGAATTTTTATATTTAATTTTTAAAGATTGTTTGCCTTTTTTGAGTAAATTTCAACCCACTTATTTTTGTATGCGGTGCTAGAACTTCTATCTCAATTTTAATTGCCTTAGTTACACTGTTATATCAGAAAATGATGCAAGTTCCTGGTGTGTCTTTTGCTAACTGGAGCATTTTTCATTTGGAGTGGGAATTGAGCTGGATACATTTTTAATTTCATTAACTGCAAAAGTAAACCACCTTAAAGTATCTGTTGACATTTCCTATTATCATACATGCAAAATTAAGAGTTTAAATCCAAATATATCCATCCATTTTTTGGAACTGCTTGTCCTATTCAGGGTCGCGGGGGGTCCAGAGCCTATCCCAGAGGCTATAGGCACAAGGCAGGGAATAACCCAGGATGGGCCACCAACCCCTCACAGGGCACACTCACACTCCAGTCACTCACACATGCACACCTACGGGCAATTTGGTAACTTCAGTTAGCCTCAGCTTGTTTTTGGACTGTGGGGGGAAACCGGAATACCCAAAGGGAACCCCATGACGATGCGGGGAGAACATGCAAATTCCACGCATATGGAACCCAGGCTTCCAAATATATTTTAATATAAAATGCAAAGTTTGTCACTGGTATTATCACATCATGAGGCATTCATTTTGTCATCAAGAAATTTTTCAATTTATATTTCAGTCATAAAGCAAACATAAAATTCTCTTAATAAGAAAATAAAAATGAAGAGAAAAATAACAAACGCCTTGTCATAGGCCTGACTGAACACCAGTGACAGAACAAGTAATTTTATTTTATTGTATTTTATAGCAAAATTAACAAACAAAATATTAAGAAAGATCGAATCTCCATATTAATTAGCTTTTTAATTGTTCTTATTATTCATGATAATAGCATTAGTTACTGGTGACACTGATATGGTGTAACAACTGTGACATTCTGATTAAAATAAAAAAAAAATTAAATAGCTGCCCCATGGGGGGTAAGATGACCTTGTGTAATTATTTAAATATAAAGGATATAAAAGATATATGGAATTACTGCTGTTCGGTGTTATACACTGATAAGCCATAACATTAAAACCACTAGCAAGTGAAGAGAATAACACTGATTATCTCATTTCAATGGCACCTGTCAAGGGTGCCATTATATATTAGACAATTGAACAATCAGTTCTTAAAGTTGATGTGTTGAAAACAGGAAAATTGGGCAAGCGTAAGGATCTGAGTGACTTCAACAAGGGCCAAATTGTGATGGCTAGACAATTGAGTCAGAGCATCTCTAAAACGACAGGTCTTGTGGACTGTTCCCGGTATGCAGTGGTCAGTACTTACCAAAAGTAGTTCAAGGAAGGTCAAACGGAGAACCGGCGATGGGGTCATGGGTGCCCAAGGCTCACTGATGCGTGTGGAGAGAGAAGGCTAACCCGTCTGGTCTGATTCTATGGGAGAGCTACTGTAGCAGAAATTGCTGAAAAGTTCATGCTGGGTATGATAGAAAGGTGTCAGAGCCTAGAGTGCATCTCAGCTTGCTGTGTATGAGGCTGCATAGCTGCAGACCAGTCAGTTTGCCCATGCTGCCCCCTGTCCACTACAGAACATGCCTACAATGGACCTGTGAGCATCAGAACTGGACCATGGAGCAGTGGAAGAAGGCGGCCTGGTCTGATGAGTCATGTTTTCTGTTACATCATGTGGATGCCCCAATGTGTGTGCATCGTTGACCTGGGAAAGAAATGACATGAGGATGCACTATGGAAAGAAGGCAAGCCAGGGGATGTGATGCAGTGTGATGCTCTGGGCAATATTCTGCTGAGAAACCTTCGGTTCTGGCATTCATGTGGATGTTACAATGACAGAGGCCTTTTTCAGCAGGATAATGTGCCCTGCCACACTGGAAAAATTGTCCAGCAGTTCAAGGTGTTGATTTGGTCTCCATATTCCCCAGATCTTAATCTGATCAAGCATCTGTGGTATTTGCTGGAGAAACAAAGTCTAAACCTTGGAGCCTCCACCTCACTACATACAGGACTTAAAGGATCTGCTGGTAATGTCTTGGTGCCGGATACCACAGGACACCTTCAGAGGTCACCTTCAGTCCATGCTGTAACTGACTTGAACCCGGTAAGGAGCGGTCTGAAGAATCTTGGGATGAGTAGCATGGATGCCACGGCAGAGTAATAGTCTGCACATGGTCATGGGGCGCACATGGTAATATTATGCACTGTGTAAATGTATAAATTTCATGATGTGTGTACATTGTCAGCAATTTGTGGTTTTGCTAAGTTAGTTATATGTTATATTTACTGATGTATGTACACTCGCGTGTGAATGGAAGACTCATGCTAATACTTTGTATTTTTATTTTCCTTGTTTCGTCTAGTTTTCACGGTGTCGTTGGAGATCGAAACGAATACATAAGTCTTCAAAACATCAGTAGGAACCGTGCCTTTTATTAGATCAGTGCAGCTACACATGCCTCAATGGGTCAGACCTGCTTTGGTAGCAAAAGGGGAGCCTGTACAGTATTAGGCAGGTGGTTTTAATGTTATGGCTGATCGGTGTAGGTTTCATGCCTTTTCAGAGCTATTTTTAAGTACCACTCCGAATAGTGGTGCTGCTGTTGTATTGCCTCTCATTTCATCACTTGCCTTTGAAGTGCTTCACAAACAGCAGACTTTTATTTAAGTAGCTTTTGGTAGCTTTTTTGTATGACAGAGTTATGTTTCTCTGAAGAACCTTACTGTTGTAAATTATCCACATTGTGCTTTTTTCTTCACATTCAGGGATCTGTATGTTACATGAACACATAGATGCTTAATATAACCTATTTAGTGTGGTTCAGCCTGCCTATTTTTTGTCTCAATCCTTTTTTTTTTTGCCTATTTTTTGTCTCAATACTAATGTAAAATATTTTTTCTAAAACTATGTAGTGATTTGTTCCGGATTTTCCAATATTGTCCTAGAATCGACCCTTCATTGATAAGAATGAGATGTCTAACTAGAGAGGCAGTAGGCCTGATGGCAGGCGCATCAGAAACATTTTGAATATGTGGGGGGGAGGGGGGGAAACACTGGCATAAAACTAATATTTTATGTTAAATGTGGGAGGGTCCAAACAAATAATTATGAAATGTGAGGGGGACACGTCCCCCTCAGATTTAATGGCGGCGACGCCCATGCCTAATGGAAACGGTAAGTATAGCATCACAATGAATAAATAGCGCCACCTCGTGGAATATTGCGAATGGAAATCTTTTTAAAATATGATCTGGCATAAATGAGCGCAACACTCGGTATTAAATAACTGGACAGAGGATTCCCTAGGCTTTTCAAATCAAATCGTGTATGTCCTATATTTATTTATTTAACAAGTTGAATTTTTATCGTGCTCATTTGTTCACCTTGTCAGTTAAAGTAACGTACATATCACATAGTTATTAAGAATTAGATTACAGTAATTTAAAAGCCGATTTTGTTTTTACAATACATGCCTATCATGTTATTGTATACATCAGTTATCAATCGATTTAAAATAATTTTCTTTTCATTCTTAATCTTATTTTGTATTAGGTCTAGACCATATTAATGCATGTCGATTAAAATCAAACATATTTCTAATATACTGTGCTGAATGTATTTCTATTAATTAATTTAAATGCAAATAAAAGTATTAAATGCAATTTTTTCAACAGCACCCGCCCCCCCAGCAAGTCCAACAAATAGGACGACTTAAAAGTGGAGCTCCTGGCAACTGTTGCGTTTTTGCCGTCAACAACGGGCTGCCTTCTTTGTCTCTTCGGATGTTTTCCTCATACAGTAGCAAACTCAGACAACAAAAGAAGATCCCACCTCACATGCATCGTGCAACACAGGTCGTACCATAAGACGGTATCATTAATATGTCTGTTACTATTTGAACTCTTGTCACTTTTTTCTCCCGCATAAACGAAATCACGCGAAGTCAGAAGCTGAACTCAGTTGTTAACAATGGTTCAAGTATAAACTAGAAAAATAGATTAGAAACAATCTGATATCTTAAACGTTTCCACCTGTAAAACTTAGTAACAAAATATTGGAGGCCTTTGAAAATCTGGCAGATTAATGAGACGTTTCAGATGCTTATGGCTGCTTTTGGTAAGTGTCCAAATATTGACAATTGTTACAATTCACGCATTGAATTATACTTATAAAGGAACTCCTAGCCGAAATAAAATCAATGCTTAAATGTTATTTTATATATGTAGGTAATGAGGAAAGCTGGGACCCTTATGAAACGACTCAGAGACGTGAGTTTGTCTACAGACCTAATACACCAATAATTGCTTTACGGTGAGAAGTTACAGGATTGTCTAAATCCAATTACCATTTACGCCATTAAATGTGAACACTTGTGTTGTTGATCTATTGCCATTTTAAGTTTTTAAATGTATTTTATTATTTTATTGCCATATTTTACAGCCCCATGACATCAACGATTCACAGAGGCTCACACTGGGCAACTGCCCTCACTGGTTCCACTGCATACAGTGAAGACTTCTGCTGGAAATCAGCATCTAAGCCTACCTGTATGCTCCCTGGAACTGCTTCTGGTAACAGAAGAAACAACCCACATCCCAATCAAGTATGCACAATAAGCAGACTTATTAACTAGATACAATTTATTCAGTAGACCATATTTTCCAGGCACGTTTTTTTTATTTTTTTGCAAAACATTGTACAGTGGCATGAAATAACATCCCCCCAGGACCAAGATGCGACACACAGACAGTGAGTGAATAAAGTGAAAAACAGGATGGTGCAGGACAGGGGATGCTGCTCTATCTTCTAGCAGACAGGAGTGGGACAAAGTCCCAGGGTGAGAGGGGTCTTCCACAATGCTAGCGGCTTTGCAAAGATGGGAAATACCAACTGGCAAATATGTGTTAGTACACTGGAAAATGCCAACAAGTCAACCTAACTCTAGATGCTGTAGTGGGCTGGGAGTCTGGGTCCAGTTAATGATCTGTTTGCTCTAAGCCAGGTGGCTTTGAGTGGAAGGCAGAAAGAGAAACATTTGTACCGACTTGGAGATATTGACAGTATAATATACAGACACGAGGTAGACAACCTACATGCGCATAAGATGAATTCAACAGTATACTATTACAGGCAATGTAAAACCAAATATGATTAAATAGCTTGAAGTGTTAGCATCCCTATATAAACTGTTTAGCTACCCAGCAAATGCATTGTTAAAATATGTTCTCCTCTTGACACCTTTCACAATGAGATATCAAAGTGATGTAAATTTACGCTAGACATAAATGTGTGTTTAAATTTAATGCATGAGATTATTACCTAAAACAGGAGAGACACATGGGAAAGCCATGCTCCCTTTACCTGCTTTTGATGTTTGGTACTAATCAAGCTGAAGTGAATAGGAGAATTAGATCCCTATAATAGGTTCTGGTAAGTCTGTTTAAGGCTTTTAGAGGTGAGAATTGCATTTTGTGTTTACTCTAAATTCAATACAGTATAGGGGAGAAGTACCAAAGTGATATATTGCATATTTTATTTCCAGTAAGAAATCCTCTGGCTACATGCTGTAGGAGTTTAAAAGACTTTAGGGAAGCTCCTACAAAAAAATAAATAAAAATGAGCCAGGTAGATATGCTATGTCTACAATAAACAGGAAGACAGGCAAAGTCTTCATTCTGGCATGTGACATTTTTATCTCAGGCCTGGAATAGTGTGACTCACTTGAGATTTGGTGTTTCCTAGGATTTCATGGTTTGGAGGCTGCCAAGGGGATTTCTGCAGAGCTCAGCAGATGGCAGGTCTCCATGGAGGAATCCGCTATCTGAACAGGAAATCAGAAATGCCTTATCTGCCCAATATCGTTCCACTTACCAGGCGGACTATTTGGGTATACCTTCAGGTAATGTGAGTGATATTCCTGTTCACTGGGTTCACAGTCTCCCTGCCTGCTCCATCCTGATCTGCCATGTAAGGATGAAAAAAGCTTATTAAAGTGCAAGTCGAGCAAACATCCCCACCTCAGTCTTCTAGCACTGAGTTCAGACATGTTGTGCTGTTTCAGGGTTTCAGATGAAATATGCAGTTTCAGGTTCTAATAGCCGGAGACGAGACGTTCCTTACTGTCTTCACACGGAAATGAGGGACAGTTACCGGCAGCCACAAGAGATGCCTGAGCTTAAAAACAACACCTCCCGCTATGGGTGTAACCCACTTCACAAAGTGTGCTCAAAAGGCATAGGTAAGCCTGAATGCCAGACCTGTAATACATAGTTAAGTGCTGCAAAAATGGCTGCCATTTTACTTGTAATTCACATCAGTCACTGGGATGGTTAGTCTGAACAAACAGCCAATTTAACCAGTGATTTTCATATCTACATAAAAGCCAGTGATGTCAATCATTAGCATCTTTTTTATATTTTGTTGAAGTCTACTTCATCTAAAGAATAAGACTTTATTTTTTTTCAGTCACAATGTACAATTTATACTTTTGAATATGTGTAACACCCTCATTTTTATTGTTATGCATTACGTGCAGTTAGGTTATATTAATTTATGAAACAGAATTAGCATATCTTTTATAGTGTGTTCTACTTCAGGTTAATATCACATTAATTGTTTTGAAGAATAATTTTTGATGCTTTTTCTAAAGTACCTACTGTGGTTCGGGCTCATATTCGCAATCAAGGGAACAGTAAACAACTCAACACCTACGACGTGCACTTCGGGGGAAAAACAGAGGACATTTATGCTGTACTGAACTCTCTTGAGCCCAAGGAGCTGCAGAAATTCTCTAATCATGTGCCAGAGGAAGGTAAAACCGAGCTAAAGCCACATTGCGCTCATATTTTACTGCCTAACAGCCCTGTACACCATGTCATGCACTCAGAGATAAATGTTGACCTTGACCAGCGCCTGCTTTTTTGCAGACAGGAAGATCTCGCAGGCTATTCTGCAAAGGGATGCTTCTAACCGTCCAGTGAAAATGCTAAAGACACCTCTCGTCCTTTCTCAGGGCCCCTGTAGGCTTGATAGGTTATCCAGGTGGCCTGGACCTCAGTAAACAGCATCTGTTCAGGGAATCAAAGTCCAGTTGATGTTGCAGCACAATCCAGAATGATTTTTTAAAATGTATCAGATATGCCTGCTTGTGCATGTTTGTGTGTTTAAACCTGGCATTTTTGAAACACTACTACAACATACTGAAAAATAAATCCTGCCCCTCCAAAGTAATGAAACTCTGCTGTATTTCTTTGAGTAGTTATACTAATTCACAGTAGCTTATTGGCTTCAGACCACCAACAACCTTTAAATGAATGAAGGCCCACAGGACGATCAGTTATCAAGGAACCAGTTAAATAATATCTGTTCTGCTTCGCAAACCTAGGTTTTTAATGCCTAACAGTTATGACAGATTGCTCATAGACCAAAAATGAGGCTGAGAAACTTGTTAATTTCTGTTGGTTTGTAAGGACGGTATTTGGTCAGCAACTGCCAGTGTAAAAGACACAATGATCACCATATCTCCTGATTCTGCTCTACTTCTCAGTCTTTTAGCTAATGTCAAGTATAGTATCTGTTCTTATCAGTTTAATATCTGATGCATCCTCAGTAAAGGGTATTACATATTACACGAAACTTTATAGAATAAGGATTTGGAAGAAGGGAGGCTTGCCCTGTCTGCTCTATGCATTGACCTGGTATTGTAGTGCCTCCAGGAATTGTGCACCTCCATTTAGGTTAGGGCAGTGTTTCCCAACCCAGTTCTCGGGGAACCCTGGACAATCCACGTTTTTGCTTCCACTCAGCGCACCTGTACCAGGTATTCGGTGTTCCTGATTGGCTGGGAGCTGGGAGGGAACAAAAACGTGGACTGTCCGGGGTTCACCTAGGACTGGGTTGGGAAACACTGAGTGGAGGCTCTGTGCTTGTTTTCCTGAAGGTCATGGGTTCAAATCCCGTGGCTGGCAGAAGAATCTCATCTCCTTTGAGCAAGCCCTTTAACCCCAACTGGGCCAGGGGTGCTGGACACTGGCGGACCCTGTGTTCTGATTCTAAAACTTGCTGTTACCTCCACATACATTCACTTGTGGGGACCAAGATGGGATATACAAAACTGCCCATTTTTCCTATAGGGATTAATAAAATAGCTCCATTTTATTCATTATTCTATTCCATTCTCCTGACATTCCACCTGATGTGTAACAGTAGAGTAGCAGGTAACATGAGACCTGGCTGAACTGAGTCGGCTGAAAGCATCTGTGAAATGTAGGACGGACTACAAGGGAAGCAAGCCAGCAACAGGCAGCTGGCGTCTAATGACAACGGCCAAACAAGCAAGGCAGCAGCATTCCTGATGAGAGAGCTATTTCATTACAACTGGAAATGCCTTTAGGGAAGAAAGCTCGCGCTACATCTGCGTTGGGGAAGCTGGAGACTCTGCGTATCCCCAGGTATTGTGCTTTCATGTTGGGATCTTTACTTAATCTGCCCCCATATATCTTATACTGAAATAGATGCTTACAATCTGGTAGACGAATTTGGGGAATGACCAAAGGAATATTTTTTAAGTTAAGTTAAGTTAAGTTAAGTTAAGGTTTAACCAACCATTGGTGCGTGGTTGAGCATCCTGGTAATCAGAATGTTTCAGGCCTCATGGTTTTGTCTGTATGTCAGGGAATATTGGTTTTGTGGTGTTTGTTTACTGTTGTTAGGGCAATAGAGGCAATGCCGTGGAGGACTGTAAATTAAGAATTAGCCCTTACAGTAAGCTTGAATATTGATTAACAGAAGCTGATTTATTGCCATGGTTACATTTTTGTGTGGGCTTTCCCAAGTTTCTTGTCGGGTATTTTCTCTGCCTTTTATTGTGTCATTATTGCACCCAAAGAATCCTGACACATGCATAAGGGCACCATGAAGAATCAGTACAGTAGTGCTTAGCACCTTAGCGGTGCTGATCTCATGCCTGGCCAGCGTTTGGGGAGACCAGCCATTCTAGCTGGTATTTGAGGATAAAAACCCTGGTATATCAGTCAATCAGATGAAAAAAAAATTGACTGAAAAGTAAATGGTCTCTATTGGAATTGCATAGCACATTTTAGGTTCCTGAGTGAAATCCATTGGGGTACATATTACATGCATCTGCATTAGGAGCTTTACAAATGGGGTGGTGTATTGCCATAATAATTGACAGGCTCCAGGTTCACCACAACTGCTGGTTAGATAATGAACAGAAAATTATTGGACGGAAACTGGCTTTCTTGCAGTGACAAAGAGCATTTTTGATCGATGTTTAATAAAATGTTTTCTTCAGATTAAAAAAAAAAAAATTAAACTATAAATCAGGCTTCAATGAATGTATGAGATATTTTTCCCCTTTCAGTGTCCTAGCTGAGCTTGGACCTAGAGCCCGTGATGCCCAGCAGAGTGACAGATTAACCCTGGATGGCAGATGCATTCTGAAGCGTGATGACTCCAAAGACAGGAGAGAGCACCCGGAGTGGCTGCAGCGAGAGATTCTAAGGCAGGCACAGCGGCGGCACTCGGTTCCTCTTGGCAACATGTTCTCCTTGGCCGAACGGCACCTCCGTATTACCGAATCTATGCGGAGCTTCTACAAGCTTAAGGTAAGTTTCACTCTATTTTCATAGTTCTGAATCTGAATATGTCAATACAGATATTATTTCTTCTATATCTGTATGTCTCTTATTTTGTGTGACAAATAAAAGTTAAATAATCTTATTTTTATTGTTTGAATCTACATTGATATTGTAAAACACATAGACAATTTCAAAAAGCAGCTATTTCAGTTTATTGTCCATTTTGTTTACAGTGTGTGGTCTTAATGACTTTTTTCAATGTTGAAGGGCTCTTCCTACAGTATGGTAATGATATACAGGATTCTTATTAGTCAAATTATCAATTGTTTAAGTTTTTTTATTGTTATGGAAGGCTGTTTATTATTGCTAATTGCTTGGGTAGATGTCAGTGTGGCTTGAATTTGATTTTTTTTATTTTTCTGATGTGGAATATGAATTCTGTGGAGGGCACATCTTGAATTTCTGCAGCCTGAAGATGTCACTGGAGTTTCAGCTTATGTTACAAGCTACAAGTCTACACAGCAAATTGCCTGATACTTATGTACTTAACAGAGGATGTTTGTGTTGTGTGTAAACCGTTCAAAACCCATCAAAACCTTTGCTATGAATTAAAATAGAAAGTGAAGACGATGCTAATGGTTTATAATATAGTAAAAAAAGAACCCAAGCAAATCTCAAACAGCTGTTTCTCCAGAAGTCTTTGCTGGAATGTTCCACTGGAGAATATTTATAAAAGACACCAAAAGTCACAATACATCAAGACTGTGGTCAGATACCAGTTCCACTTCAATTAAATTCATAGATGCATGCATCATACTCTTCACAGAAATGTTACCTTTCACTCCTCAAAACACATCTAATGCCATTAGCGATGAAGTCACTTATTGGCTTGTTTTGTAAACAGAGGTGACTCATACATCCTTCAGTGCTGCTTTCCAAAGGACATTGGCTGTGTTACCTGTGATTTATTAATGTTTGATCAAAGAGTTGTCATAGGTTGGAATACATGGGTTGCTAGGGAACAGGTAGAAAACCAGAGAGTGTCACTGATGATACTTCAGACATGCATCTCCCTGAAATGGGAACAACAGAGAGAGCATATTAACTCCCCTTAGACATACCACAATTAGATGTATCTCTATGCATTTTTGATAATTTTTGTTTTCCCTTTATTCCTTCCAAATTTAATGGACCAAAATACTAAAATGTTTAACTGTATGGTTTCCTATCTTAACTATTAAACTTGCTTTTTTCAAGCATTCAGATTTGCTAAATTGCTTGGTAAGTGGGATTTTGATTGAGCCATGCCTGTCATTGTTCTAGTTGTTTTAAACGTATTTTGGAGTAAACATCCATTGTGTAGTTAGAACCCACACACTTTAGCATTTTGACTGAAATCTAAAGTGTAATTATCTTTAGAACACTGTGTTTGGGTTAAATTGCTTAGATGCTGATATTTTGTTACTTTCACTTTTAGTTAGATAGATGAACACAAGGGGGAGCTGTGTTCTGATGCTAAGAATGCTTGAGCCATAGTTATGTGTGAGATATTATGTTTAGTTTTAAGCATTAAAACTTTTATAATAGCTGCAGTTCATCATGTGTGACATCTTAGAAATAAATACTGAATGTGTTGTCATTTTAATAGATTGAGGAGAAGGTAACACTTGAAAATCTAATGAGCCTGAAATATGCATTTGAGGTGAGTTATTTATTTAAAAGAGGCTGAACATGCAAAAAAGCAAAAAAAAAAAAAGTATTATTTTTGAATCCTCATCATTTGAGTATTTGTGACATAAAAATATTGTTTCTTGCAGGAATATGAAAAAGGTGGCAAGAAATCATTGGACATGATGAATTTCAGCTTGATGGTTAAGAAATGCTGTGGATTACATAAAGTTGTAAGACGCTTATCATAAATATTACATGAAGTTGTAAGATATTTATCACGGAGCTGGTAATCTATCACAGCCCACTTTGTAGGGTGGGGTGGCTACATATCACTATGTCTAGAAGCAGTTAATTGGATAAAATAACTTTGTTGTGTGAATGCCAGGTGTCTTAACCTAAGAACAATTTTGTGTTTAGAATCTGATTCTTACAAAATAGAGAAGCACTCCATACTCATTCACTAAACTCCGGTTGCTTTGTTCAAGGGGCATAATGAAGCTTATATATTTTGACTAAATTAAACGATCTTATAGTAAATTTCTCACTCTTTTTTATATCTTCTGAATACTGCAGAAGAATGAGCTAATCCAGGAGCTCTTCAAGAAGATCGACTACTTGGGAAATGGCAAGATACGATGGGTAAGATTGATCCCTAACTTGGATCTCAAAATGATTTTTTTCATGTGACAAATATTTATAAGTAATTATCAGGTCTTAACAGATATTAATCATTATGTATGAGTATGTGCTTCATGATGTGAGTGTTTGCTCATAGTTTTCTGCATTGCCATCCCTACTGATCCCTGTGCCTGACTCTCTGTAGGATGATTTCTGCACCTACATGCAGCTGGAATACAAGGAGAAGGAAGAGTCCATTTCTCGTAGCAAGCAGGTGGCATTTGTTCTTCCTGGCTCCACTGTGACCATGTGCCATGGGGAGCCAATGGTAAGGATCTGCTACAGCCCTAATGGCACTGTGGTCACCATCCGGGAAGACGGGACAGCCTTCTACTGGACCCCTGAGCTTCAGCTGAAGAAACGCAAGATGGTGTTCGTAAGTGTTTTTTTGTTTTATGTGCCGTATAGTCTGTATCTTTTTGATGTGTGCATTTTTTCCATTGTTTTCGGAAAATATTAATCTCTTTTGGAGTCTATTTTAATTCATAGCAAAGCTTTTGATGGGTTTTGAATGGTTTATACACAACCCAAACATCCTCTGGCCAGTTAATAGCATGTAATTTGTACTTTCCAAATTTCTTTTCTTTTATCCAGCAAGAAAGACCAGTGAATCGAAAGCCAAAATGGGCAACTGATTTTATCACGATGCCGCAGTTCAACAAGCTGATCATTGGAACGGGGTAACCATGTAGATAGACTAATAATAGACTTAATGGAATAATAGTTAACCATGGTGCTGACAAAGCAGCAGTAAAACATGACTTAAAATGAAGAGCTGAAGTTGGAATATGGAAGGTATTTGGGATAATTTCATCTATGGCAAATGAAGTTGTGTCAAAAACAATTAATAATGAAGTGACAACAACTCAGTTTTATTTTAGTCCCATTTTGTATGTGTTTGGAGGTTGCATGTTCACATGGTGGATTACGTCCTACAGTGTAAAAACATCTGGGTTGGGTTGCTATCTCTAAATTTCCATTAATGCCATGTGCCCTGTCCAGGCTGTATTTGCTTCTTTCAACATGTTTCTTGGGATAAGCTTACTGCAACCCTGCACAGGTTATAGAAAACGGATGGTTCATTCAAAAAATGTACACTCTCATACTTTACTTGTTTTATTTTGGTACCTTTGCTTGTCACTGGGGCTGTAACTGCACATTTTAAGGTACAGAAACGGACATCCCAAAGGTAAAAACCATATTAATGTATCATTAATGGTACAAAAATGTTCCCCAGAGTCCATTTCTGTACCATAAAAGATACAATTACCAAAAGCTATGGGTACAATTGGCAGACCATGAGGGCACAGCCCCAGTGACAAGCAAAGGTACAAATATTTACCCTTTTTTCTGGGAGTGTAGGGTCCATTTGGCAGCAACTCAGTGTCTCCTGTTCCCCCAGGGATCGGGAGATCCAGTTCTATGAGTTTTCGTCCCTGGACCCTTACTGCCAAATCGGTGCCCTGGAGACCATACCTTTAAAGTTGGACTACTGGTGAGCAGCATTCAATACTATGTAATCACAATCCCACATGCACACTCACACTCATGTTGGTGACCACAGTCTGGAACAGTAACACAATGATTCTCCCACCTCCCACAGCTACAAAGGCCCTGATGAGTGTGTGATCCTGTTTGGAGATGCTCAGGTAACCACCATTCATCTGATCTCTTCTGATTCAATTATATGGGCGCAAAATTTGGCTTCACTTATTTGATCCTACTATTGTTTCGCATTCCAGGGCTGCGTGAACATCATATTAATGGAAATGGTTGGAGAAACACTGAGGTAAATCTACTAGCCATTTTTCTATGAGTCAGTATCAAGGTGAAGCATTCACAGACACAAGTCATTATCTGATCATTCTATTTATGCTTCCTTAGCAGAATGAGAACAAACTCATTCACTTTTAGCGAGTGTTATGCTGTGCAATAATATTTTACATTTCAAAACATTCGGGTGGGTAAGAAGCAGATAATTGCAATGGAAATAGCCCCTAGAATTGTCATATTTGCCTTGTATCCATGGAATCACTGATTAGAAGAATCCAAAAGGGATTCTGTGGGAGACAATAGTGTTACATTACTAATTAGTAAACTGGAAAAGTATCCTAAAAGTAAGAAGGACAAAAATATCTTTTGACATGAGGAAACAGAAATTTGTCAAGAAAATTAGCATATGTAAATTTTGTGCATGGAGTCGAGGTTTGAGACATCCATCCCAGAGCAGATATCTTTTAAATTTTTTTACTATCTTTCATAGAATGTGGAAAAAATCACCAAAAGTCGAAAATGTGCCCAGTGTTGCCATAGAAAACGTTGTTCTATCCCCAAGTGTGCGATTTATTCGGTGGAAGGTTCATGATGACTGGGTGAACGAGGTAACTTACTGTCTATATCCCAAAGAGCTTAACTCGGTCTCGCTGCGTTTGGCCCATTTCAGCAGCATAATTAACATACTTTTAGCTTCCTTAGGTGGAAGTGTGCCAGCCTGCAGTTTTTTAGCTGAATATGATGTTCTTATGGGCAAAATTGTCATGTAGATAGAAACAACAATCATGAGACCACCATACAAAAATAACCATCATGTAGTTTGACAAGATTTTACTCCATCTATAAGTGTGTATACTATATACCATTCACACTAAATCATTTTATATTATATTGTCAGGGACCACAGACCTGGCAGCTTATTGAATAATTTTCTGACAATGAATTTCAGGTACGGTATTTCGCGAGCACCTCCACCGTTATCTCTACCTCGAACCATGAGCTGACTGCCCTCGTTATCGGTAAGGCCAGCTTTTTTCCCCATACCCCCACCACCACCCCTATCAGCCTGCCCCCCATGATCCTCTGATCACATCAACCTCTTCCCTAGCTCGCCATCTTTCCGTTTGAGACAGGGGAAGATGGCACCAAATTGATCCTTTTACTGTGAAATGGAACAGCTAAGAAACGGAGCAATTATTAGCAGGCAGCCCACCCCCTCATTAAAACTTAAAGCTTTGGGACAAGCCATGGCCCTGTGAGGACCTGAGAGGAAGGAGGATATGGCTATTTATCTGACATTTTTAATGGGTGCACAAGCATCTGTCAAATCGTGTCTGTAATGAAATTCTTGGTAATATTTGAAAAACATGGAGGTGAAAGGTAATTCTACTGCAACAGGTTCCTGATGGGATTGAAAGAATTGGGGGGGAGGGGGGGTAATTAATTTATCAGCTGCAAAGTGAGCATGCATGTATGGCTGTTTTCTTCCAGGTGTGCGACTTGGTGTCTTTTTGAGCTCTTGCATGGTTGTACGCTTATGTGCTGTTGCACATGTTTAAATATATGCTTTATATGTGTGCAAATAATTTTAAAAATTTCTTATTACAAGCTCAGAAAACACCCTAATCCTAACCCTAACCCTAACTCTGTTCACGACTCTAAGGTTGCTTAACTTCGACAACCAAGCTTAAGCAGCAGGTGGAAGAGGTCAGGGAGGCCACCAGAGAGGTAAAACCCAAAAAGACGGTGCCCGGGCTCGGCCTCCCCCAGCTAAGAACAGCCTGGGACCAGACTGTCTTCTCAGTCTATAAGGGTGTCAAAACCTTTGACTTCTGCAATAAACACAGGCTGCTTGTCACCGGAGGGCTTGACCGACTCATACGTACGTGGAACCCCTATGTGCCAGGGTGAGGGACATATTTTTTGATTTCACTTTCACCACTGATGGGCCCTTAATTCCACCTGCTCCGAGGTGCTGGACACTGGCCAGCCCTGTGCTATGCCCCCCAAAACTGTATATCGCCTTTATATGTATCTGTGTATCTTATGAAGAGCAAGATGGAGTGACAATTTCCCAATGGTGAAGAATAGCGTATCACTTAAACAAATCCTATTCCTTCATTAGATACTGGCATTTCCTGAACTGATTCTGGTTTGTTTATCTACTGGGCCTGTCATTGTGGTTATGGTAATGTGGTTATTTACCTGTCTGTCGGCCAATTCTTATGTTTCATGTGCTAAGCTGCTGAATTGTTTCCCAAATGTCTATGTCTCCGCAATCCTTTGCCTTTTGTCCATATGCTTGGGTCTTCAGCACTGTTTTTTGAGTCAAGTGTATCTGCCTCTCTTGGCTTTAGTGGCCCAGAATTTTATTGGATACCCAAACACCAGGCTTTGAAACCACTGAAAAGTAACACATAGCTGAGGAGAGTAGCTGTAGGGTTGTTTAGGGCACGTTCTTCATTAATGGCAAGTGCCTGTGATTCAAGTAAGGAAATATAGTCTGAGACTTGTTACTTCCCAACAGGAAGCCCACGGGGACACTAAAGGGACACTCCGCTCCAATATTCTACTTGTGCATCTCATCAGAGGACAACCGGATCTTCTCTGTTTCCACGGACAACATGGTTAAAGTTGGGTCCTTTATGCTTGGTTATGACCCTTACACTCTCATAACTGCATTTACTTGTAGGTTAGAGCAGTGTTTCTCAAACCAGTCGTCAGGGACTCCCAGCAGCCCACATTTTTGCTCCCTCCCAATTAGTGTTGTAGTACTCAAGACCGGTCTTGGTCTCGAGATTACTTTTTTGTGGTCTTGGTCTCGTCTTAGTATCAAATTTATTTTGACTCGGTCTTTGTCTCTGTTTGATTTTCTGTGTTGATTTTCGCACCCGTTAATCCCAGGCTCTTATCTTTGGATAGGTGTAACACACAGACATGAATGGCAAATCTTTGCAATCGAGAGAACTTATGTGATCTCGTCGTCCAAAATATTCCAGAGTAATCCTGTGTGCAAAGAGGCATGTATTTTAAACATTTTCCACAAAAAAACACCCCTAATAATTGATAAAACATTTATATTATTCACATTAGATGGAACACAAAACGCATATTCGATTCCGCAATTATCCACACACTACCCTTCTGGGAAAAAATATTTATTTTAGAATTTATGTATTAACCTATAAATAAATGGGCTGGAGTTGTACTTGAAATAAAAACAAAACACAGCATTCTATTTATTAGAAAGATGATTACTTGATATTTTCAAAATATTTATTCACGAAAGTTTGTATATGTATGCTTGATGTTGAGCTCCGTCAAATCAGTTGAAAGAGAACGTGCCCAATGTTCGTTTGTTGTTTGAGGCTAAAATGTCAACTAAAAGTGTTATGTTAGTGTTTATTCAGTGGATCATAAACCAAACAATATTCTCTATTTCAAATTATTTCATATGTTATAAAGTAATAAATAATATATACGCTCAAAATGGATAGTGCTTATAGGGTTAACACAGTACTCTGATTGAGTGTAAAACCTTCAAATGCAACCAATAAGGTGTCTCATTTGAAAGAAAAAATGTTGCATTTGTACAAAGCATTTATGTTGAAATTTTTAGAAAAAATGTCTATGGTTCAGATTATACTGTGAAACAAATTATAGACCATAATGCCTACCCCCAAGATGTGCCTATGCTCCATATTTTATAGTGTGTTGTGTTATTTATACTCCAACATTAGTCTGTTTCTGATCTTGACTTGGTGTAGTCCTGCCTTGGTCTTGGTCTTGTCTCGGTTTCAATACACTCTGGTCTTGGTAATGACTTGGTCTTGGTTTAGATGTTGTTGATTAAATCACTACTCCCAATTAGGAGAGAGTAAAAACGTGGACTGTCTGGGGGTACTTGAGGACTGGTTTGAAAAGCACTGGCCAAGAGGGTCAAGAGTCAGAATAAGGGGCTCATCCTGAAGTCCTCCAGTATAACACTGAGTTGCATAAACTGGTTAAACCAGTCAGTTACTTTGGGGAATAAAGCAATGAAATAATTTGTTAGCCAATTAGCTGAATTGTTATTCTTATCAAACATGTCTTTCTTTTTAGATCTGGGGCATCCATGACCAATCATGCCTATTCCAGGCTCACCCCAAAGCCAGCCTGATCTGTGGGGAAATGACGGCCTGCCTATACTCCTCCTCTGTTAGAGCTCTCTATGTCGCCACGGACTCCATTTCCCAGCTGTGCCTTAAGACGCGGTGGGCCCCCAGTCCCCTGCTTAGTGTAATGTATTTACCAATGGACTGGTCATACCTGGTGGCCTAGACTAGTTTCCCATTTGTTCAGAAGGGGGAGAGGGGAAAGACTTTTTAACTCTGATTTATGCAGTTTTTTCTTGCAGGGCTGGTCAAAGGATAATGAGTACAGAATCAAAAATAAAACAAAGTGTGAGACACAAAAACTGAACTGAATTTAAAACAACGAGCTACAAAACTAGCTGACATAAAATAAAAATGAGCAGAAATGAAAATCATAACACTTTACTTAAGGCCATGTTTTTAATAATTTCTAAACACATTTATAACAAATAACTTATGCATTCATAAAACATTATAAACATGGCTATGAATATTTATCAAAAGGCATAACACATTATAGCCATGTGTATTATGCATTATGAATGCTCTATGAAGTTCTCATCTATCATGCACTATAGTGCATTATAATGGGTGCAATAAACATACCTGTAATGTATGTTAAATATTTATAGCTATATTTATAATGCTTTATGAATGCATTATTACTTCTTATGAATGCATTTATAAATTATAAAAACATGGCATTAAGTAATGTGTTACGATGAATATTTGTGGTTTCTATTTTAATTTATATATTTTATATATTATGTTTATATTATTGTATTTTTGAGTTTAAAAACTTGCCCATAGGCTACCAGCCTATATTAGCCTACCCGGCGTCTCTCCTCTAAATTATCAGCAGTGATCGTTGCCCATGATGAGCATCTCAAATAGGCACAGCTACAAATGTCCCCACGAGATTAAACCGTGTTTCAGACAAGGGTAGTACCACTGAAAATGACAAAAAGTTAGAGCTGCATAATATATCAGTTAAAATATCGCCATTCGTCCAATATGTCAGTCTTGGCCAGTACTTAAACTTTATCAGTATTTAAAATGAACTGTACCAGAGCTAAAGACTTAAGTACTACAATAACAGAGATGATTACATTGGATCAGCCATTTTCCATATTGGAGGGTTGAGGAATTTCGTTTGCTCATTCACCATTTATAAGAGGTCTCAATGTACAGGCCCACAACGTTTATAATTCATCGTTAAACGTGGCGCACTAATCAATCTTTTATTTTCCATGGAATAAAAAACAATGGAAGAAGATTCTACCAGTTTGGGCCAGTAAACTTGACAAATTTCACCACTGGCAACTGTTAGATATACTGTAAAGTGTGCCTATCTGTAAAGGTAAACCAACACCAAAATATATATTTGCAAGCCCTCCCCCCACAATGATTTGACCCCCACCCTCCCATTGTTATACTGCTGGCCACTGCTTGAGGTAACAGTCTGCACCATGAACAGATGCCCCCCCCCCCCAAAAAAAACTAATAAAACTAATCTGAAAAGAAAACAAAATTGAAAAAACAAAAAACATATTAAAACAAATACTACTAAAAAAAATGAACTAACATTACCATGGGCTGATCATGCTATACTATATTTTTCTTTGTTTTCTTCTCCTTTTATCCGGTTTTCCAAAAGCAAATATATCTCCTTTCGTTCTGGTTTTTATACCTTCTCTCCTGCGCTCCTTGTTTTGCCCCGCCTCCTTGGATAGGCCGCCTCCCCAGGGTCACCTGGTCATGTCCCACCGGGAGCCAGTGCTGTGCTGTGGCTACAGTGAGGAGCTTCATCAGGTGGTCAGCTGCAGCGAGCAGTCTGTGAGTGCACACACCTCCTCCCACGCGCAGTGGCAGATGGCGGATTAAAGGCAGCCTTCACACGCTCTCTGCCAGGCGCGCCCCCACCGCGAGCCGCTTTCTAACCTGTCTAATGTTGGCGGACAGATATTACAACACTGCCATCTTGGCCTGACAGTTTTGTAAATTTTTGTCTCACGTTTTGTGCATTATTCTGAAGATCTGTTAGTGTCTCTAGGGACTTTATAAATGTATACCTTCCAGATATTCCCTAGCAAATCCAGTTTATTTGTCGTGTTCCAGGTGGTGAAAGTATGGGATTGTGATACAGGAACTCAAGTCTTTGAGTTTGGAAATGCCCATGGATTCTCTGCTATTTCCTGTCTAACCTTTGACTCAAAGGGAAGGAGGTTTGCCTTAACACTTTTGCCTGATAATAAATACCATATGGGCATGTTAAGATAAGAATAAAGGTTTGACTTTATTTTCTCACCATGCAGACTGATCACTGGAGGGAGGGATGGCTCCCTTAAAGCCTGGAACTTCAATAATGGCCAGTGCCTGAAGATTTTTAGGGAAGGTGGGCGAAGTGCCTGATACATTCTGAGGTGCAGATAGGTCTTTGGTCCCTAACAACACATAGCCATGTTTCAGCAAGATATTCATTCAGTGTGAACTATGTGGTCCTTGGTTTTTGCGTATATATGTATGTATGTATCAAGTCAAGTCAAGATTATTTATATAGCATATTTATAAATAACAATTGTTAATTCAAAGTGCTGTACAAAAAACATAAAAACATAAAATTGATTAAACTGCATGCTATTTAACAAAATAAAAGGGTTTTAGGGCATTATTTAAAAGTGTTAATGGGGCAAATTAAATTCAGTAAAAATTTAGATAATGTTGAAGACAGATCAACAATGATAGAAATTACTGAACCTGTTAAAGTCTATGCATGTATGTATGCATGCATGCATGCATGCATTCTTGCATCTATCTATCTATCTATCTATCTATCTGTCTGTCTGTCTGTCTGTCTGTCTGTCTGTCTGTCTGTAACTAATCATTTTCTCCCCTGTAGATGGAGAAAGTCACAAAGTCTGTGACTGCGCCTACCTCACAGTAAACAGGAAGTCGTAAGTGGCGAGCGCTGAATGTGACATTTGTGGACTGTGCATGTGAGGCAGGCGGCTGACCTTCGTCCTGATGACTGTATCTTTCTCTCCTCTTGGCAGGTATGTGATGTCTGTGGGCTGGGACAGGAGGATCCATGTTTACCCCGTGAGTGTATTTCTGTGGGCTGCTGAAATCGATGAAGGTCCCTCAGATGTTAGGCTTCTTTTCTTCATTGCCGGTGTTTTATGAGAACAGTGACACAAGAAACCTGTCCAAGCTAATGTTCCAAGAATTCCTTTCGTACCTTTTCTTTCCCAATGGTACTTTTCCATTTTTGTACCATTGTTAACGAGGTGGAAATTTCAAGTCCAGAAAGTCCAGACCAAAATTACGTTTCAACCTACCTGCTGAGTACTGAATGTGACTTTATATACTTAACTGGTTTGCTGAAACAGAATCATGGTCTGGATTTGTACTTTCTGAACCTGAACATTCCACCCCGCTTATGCTAATAGAAAATCAGTGGAGTATTCAAAATCTTGTTAGGGAGTGTCTCTGGAGAGGATGACTTATATGGATGACATAAATAAAAGACAATGGAAATACAGTAGTAATGAAAATAATCTCAGCCCCCTATTCAAATAATTCACCCTCTACTACTGGAAGGAAATGTGGTGACGGCCAGTCCCTTGGACGCTTCCCAGGTTTCAATACCTTTTATGTCCTTGTCATTTTTGGCTGATATCCCTTGTAAGAGGTCAGATTTTTTTTTAATAATCTTGCTCACATGGGAGAGAATTAAACCCAATGCAATATACACTGCTCAAAAAAATTAAAGGAACACTTCTTCATCAGAGTATAGCATCAAGTCAATTAAACTTCTCGGATATTGATCTGGTCACTTAAGTAGCAGAGGGGGTTGTTAATCAATTTCAGCTGCTTTGGTGTTAATGAAATTAAGAGGGGCAACAATGAGGTGACCCCCAAAACAGGAATGGTTTAACAGGTGGAGACCATTGACATTTTCCCCTCTTCATCTTTTCTGACTGTTTTTTTCCACTAGTTTTGCATTTGGCTACGGTCTGTGTCACTACTGATAGCATGAGGTGATACCTGCACCCTACAGAGGTTGCACAGCACAGTCCAGCTCCTCCAGGATGGTGCATCAATACATGCCAATTGCCAGAAGGTTTGCTGTGTCTCCCAGCACAGTCTCAAAGGCATGGAGGAGATTCCAGGAGACAGGCAGTTACTCTAGGAGAGCTGGACAGGGCCGTAGAAGGTCCTTAACCCATCAGCAGAACCAGTATCTGCTCCTTTTGTGCAAGGAGGAACAGGATGAGCACTGCCAGAGCTCTACAAAATAACCTCCAACAGGCCTCTGGTGTGAATGTCTCTGACCAAACAATCAGAAACAGATTTCATGAGGGTGGCCTGAGTGACCCACGTTCTCTAGTGGGCCCTGTGCACACTGCCCGGCACCGTGGAGCTGGATTGGCATTTGCCACAGAATACCAGTATTGGCAGGTCCACCACTGGCACCCTGTGCTTTTCACAGGTGAGAGCAGGTTCACCCTGAGCACATGTGACAAATGTGAAAGGGTCTGGAGAAACCATGGAGAACGTTATGCTGCCTGTAACATTGGTCAGCAAAACTGGTTTGGTGGTGGGTCAGTGATGATCTAGGGAGGCATATCCATTGAGGGACACACAGACCTCTACAGGCTAGACAACGACACCTTGACTGCCGTTAGGTATCGGGATGAAATCCTTGGGCCCATTGTCAGACCCTACGCTGGTGCAGTGGGTCCTGGGTTCCTCCTGGTGCACGACAATGCCCAGCCTCATGTGGCGATAGTATGCAGGCAGTTCCTGGAGGATGAAGGAATTGATACCATTGACTGGCCCCCATGCTCCCCTGACCTAAATCCAATAGAACACCTCTGAGACATTATGTTTCGGTCCATCCGATGCCTCCAGGTTGAATCTCAGACTCACCAGGAGCTCAGTGATGCCCTGGTCCAGGTCTGGGAGGAGATCCACCAGGACACCATCCGTCGTCTCATTAGGAGGATGCCCCGACGTTGTCAAGCATGCATACAAGCATGTGGGGGCCATACAAACTACTGAGTACGATTTTAAGTTGCTGCAATGAAATTTTAGCAAAATGGACTAGCCTGTCGCATCATTATTTCACTTTGATTTTCTGGGGCGTCTTTGAATTAAGCCCTCTGTATGGTTTATCATTTTCATTCCCATCAAACAATGTGGCATCCTTTCATTCCTAACACATTACGCCGTCCATATCAGAATAGAAATCCAGCATGTTTTTTTCCCAGTTGAGATCTGATGTGTTTTCAAAGTGTTCCTTTAATTTTTTTGAGCAGTGTATTTTTAATGTGAAGTGAAATACAAACGACTTACTACATGCAAGTCTTGCAATAATATTAATGTGTTATTGTGTGGAGAAAAGCCGCATTTCATTCCATGGTCATTAATAATAATAATAATATTTAACTGTCATGACTCATATTGCAGGGAGAGTTTCTTCATTTCCTGGTCACCCTCGCTCAATAAGCAGGGAGGACCCTCGTTCCAAGCTGTCTGTACTGGCTTGCCTGTCATCCAGGACGCTGGGCTCTGCATTAACTCTCCACATGAGGGCACTTTTCTTGGTTTAAATTTCATCCAATAAATTTTTGACAATTCACTGGAAATCACAGCTTTCCTCCTATTCAGTATATAAAAAGGATGGATTAATGACAATGCACAGGGAAAATATCAGCGCTATAGAATAGGCAGTGCACAATTACTGACTTTATTATATTTCAGCAATAATAGATAAGTGTGTCAAGTGAATAATCTGCACCAGTATTCTCCTTATTCATTGGTAGATAAAGAAATTTAGCATTAAATGTTTAAATGACAAACGCATGAATTAATAATTAATTCCATTCCTATGAAGTCACTCTTTTCTTCTCAACAAATGTCGGCTATACTGGGAAGGATTCTCCGGAGGACATCTTCCACATCCAGAAACCCCTGCCTCCATGGCCGGATGACCTGGTGAGAATGTCAACACATCCCTAGGGAATTCCCAAGGAAGGAGCCCAAAATGGCATTAAAATTAGGCAGAGAGGTGGTGCTGCACATTTCATTTGTACTGCTAATGTGGACAAAGGACTTGATTCTGTTTCATACTGAAAACCAGTCTCATGCAGGTGTTTGGCACCTTGGTCTCACACCTTTCCTCGTTTTCGGTATCCTCAGAGGAGCGGCCACAAAGACGACATCCTGTGCATGGCGCTGTGTCCCCCCACACTGCTGGCCACTGGCAGCCATGATGGCGAGGTCCTCGTGTGGAACATGGTCTCTGGACACCTGCAGTGCCACATCCTCACACCTTCCCCTCCAGGCTGTGTGTACAATGCACCTTCATGTCAGTAGAAAGAGCCTTTTTTCTTTTATAATGTGTGTGTGTGTGTGTGTGTTCACAGTAGAGATTATAGGTTTAAGTGAAAGGCATGTAAATCAGCTTTTAAATTAAACATCGCTGAATTTCATGGTACCTGTCATTATAAAATGGATTAACCTGTCAATTATTTAGCGAGAAATGACTGGGGCTGACCACCGGTGCTTGATTTTATTGTCTTTGCAGCAGTATGAATATTATTAATGTGATGTGCATTGAGCAGGCTGTTTTCATGGGCTCAGTAAATCCACAAGTTCTTAATATCTTTTGGCTGCATCGTAAACCAAGAGAAAGCAGCTTAACATTTTAAATCCCACTCAATCTTCCCATGTGAGTGAGCTCTGAAAGTCCAATGCAGGAAGACAAAAATGTGCTGCTTGTCTCACAGCAAAAAATAGTTTGAGGAAAATGAATCTCTCACCAATGCACAGTATATGATATTTTGTTTTAAAAAACTGTTTAATATTTTTAAAATAATGGAACAGAACCCCCCTCCCCATCATGGGTTGTTCCCTGCCTTGCACCCGTAAATTCTGGGATAGGTTCTGGACCCTCTGTGGCCTTGAATAGGATAAGTACAGAAATTGCATGGATGGATGGATGGATGGATGGAGGAGAAAATCTACTAGAAGCTTTAATCATTTGGGGATATACTTTGCACAATATACAATTTCACTTTTTCAGTTCATCTATTCATTCTTCCATCTTCTAGACACTTTTCCTGGACCCTATTGCATCACAATATTCTCCTTTTTTCCCTAACAAAACAATATATTGTTTGCTCGATATTGTTGTCTTCCTCCATAACGTTAGATGTTGACATCAGCGTTTTGAGCATCCTTTTCATGAGGACCCAGCTGCTGAACACAGGTCACATGGCTGCTGCCTGCATGGTATCATCAGGAGCCAGAGGTTAGTGATGTCATAGCAACCATATTTGCAGCCAACACGGCACATTCACGTGTGACAGGACTCATTTCTACTTATTCATCACACAAGAAAAGTTTGCAAAAACTAATCCAGTTTTGTTCCATTTGCAACAAACAAAAGGCTACATCCATTTCTGGAATGTTCTGAACGGAGGGCAGCTCTTGGCAAGCTTTGAAGCGGTACGTTACTGACCCTCAGGGCACTAAACTTCTGAGTGCGTAATGGGAAGGAGATTCCTCAGTGGTTAGCTCCTTCACAGAAAAGTCTCGACAGATGACTGCTCATAGCAATTTGGGTTTTTTTTTTCAGTCCAGGCTGAAACGCCAGATTACCAAAATGGCTCTTTCCAAGCAGGAGAACTGGCTGTATGTTGCTGATGAGGTTGGCTACATCTCTGTTTTTGAGATTGATGCATATGCACTTGTGCCAGATCAGCAGCAGACGGCACCAAAGGGTAAGAAAGTCTTTTCCCTACCGACCTTGAACTTGCCCCCTGGTTGCAGAAGATAATTGATCATTGTGTAAAGGCCCCATGATGTGCTGTAACAAAATATGTCTGTCTTTCCCATTTAGCTGTCAACTATTGGCGTGGACATGTTGGCAGCATCACGGGGTAAATATCCGATTTTGTTCACGGGTAGGCTGCCTTTCTAGGCTTGCCAGAAACAATTCCTGGTGTTTTCTTCCAAAACCCTCAAAAATCTTTGTTGTAATCATTATAATGGCAATTTTATAGAGGTGGTACAGTAATGCGCTTTGGGTGTTTGGTGTCTGACCCCTTAGTGAGCTGTGGGATACTCTCTGGGATCCTGATGAGAAGTCTAGCCCCTTCTTTTGCATGATTTCCTAATAGTGGGGCAGATGCTGTTTGCGGGGGCCCGGTCAGCACTCTCTCTGTCTCCCGTGAAGCTTGCAGGTGATCACCGCTGAGGAAGTGCTGCTTACATCCTCCGTGGATTGCACCGTGCGCCTCTGGAGCATACACGGGGAATTCATAGGTACGCACTGAGCTGGGCTGTGCTGGCCTTGATTAGCCTGAAAATGAAAGGGTTAAACAGAAAATAATAGGGTTCCTGCACCTTTCATAAATTATGTCCTGTATTCCTAAGTAAAAAGGTGCAAACCCATTTATACCCATACACAAGAAGATTTATCCCCCCCATTGGACGTGTGTTTATCAATAATTTTAATGATGATTCATTTAGATTCCAGGGACATATATCATTAAGAACAGATCACAATGTTGTGAAGTAGTTAATTTACCTGTTTCTGCGCATGCTGCAAAGGATGAGTTACAGTGACGTAATAGGCATCGATTCAGCATATAGAAATTTCTTCACCAATGCAATGAGGGCTATAAAACACTACCTCTAATGGGGATCTTTTCAGCCATGGCTTAATATTGTGGATGACAATTACAAAATGAAGCTGTTTCACACATGCTTATTCCTCGCACCCATGGAGAATTACGCAATATTGAGATGTCAGGCAGTGTGTGGCAGGTAAGATCTCCAAAAGACTAGGCCTGAAAAGTCAGTGGACAATTTGAAATTTCTCATCATGGGGGATTAGCTGAAGCTGTCATGGTAACTAGTTATTTTTTTTTCTCAAACATTTATTCTGCTTCCTGTGCAGTTTCAGTTCACTTCAGGCGGCAAATATCTAATGCAAGTTAGGAAAAATCATAAATATTGGCTAAAAGATGACAGTCCATGGACAAACATTATACAATTATAAATGACTGTGGGATACAATACATGATAGATTTTAAATACTATTATCTTATTATCTTAGGTCAAATCTTAGGTCACCATGAATCATTTATACAGTACAGTCTTTCCTAAGTGAAGTTATTATTGTTGCCTAAGTGAAGTACAGTCTTTCCTAAGTGAAGTTATTATTTGGAAACCCAAAATAATAAGAATAATATTTGGCATAGAAAAAATATTAATAAACAACCTCACATACAAACTAATACCATCAAGCCATTCCAATAATTGCCTGCTTCATCTCTCTTGTGAGTAACAAACAATGATTGAACTGTAATTATTTTCTAATTTACATGCTATACTTAAACTATTTGTGTAATACGCTTATGCAAATGTGAAACAAGGAGCTTTTATGAAATTGTATTTATGCCACCATTCATCATTTTAATGAGAATTCTTACTGTCTAGTACCCCAAGAACTCTGGAATTTATTTGCTCATTTTATTACCCATAAACCCACTTACCCTAATTGGATGTCCTCTTTTTTTGTACATGAGTTGGAAACTCCAAATTGTGAAATAATAGATTTTCTGGGTAAGATTCAATCTCCCATAGGGACATTTGGGCAGGCTGATCGCTGGAGCATCCACACTCCATCCTCCTGGCAGCATCCCACGGCCCCGCATGAGGTCCTCATTGACCCCTTGAGTATGCCGGCTTCCCTGCCATTGAAGAGTGGGCACCAAGTCTCAGTGGAAAACAGCCTGGACACTGAAAAGGATGCCAACAAAGCAGATGACAGAAATGTTGGTGCCTCGTTCTGTACCTGCATTCTCATCTTTTTTCCTTCATTATCTTTTAATCTGTTTCAGTTTTGCCTGTCTCTTGTAATGCTGAGCGTAACTCCCCCACTCAAAATGCAATTTCAGCCTGACTCCCGCAGCAAGCCTCCATTGCCATCGCTCAGCATCTCCGACAGTGACATTGAGAATGCTGTCAACAATGCCTGTTACCCGACCGAGCCTGGGAAGCGGTGAGTCTAAATTCCACATCATCCTATAAATGAGTTAAAGAAATCATCTTCTCATCATGAATCGCCAAATAGTTCCAGTCAGCCAATTGTGCTCACTCTTGTTTACATTTTAGGCTCCGCCATGAAATATTCAAGCACACGAACAAGCTACTCAACCACGGGGGGGACAAAGTTTACCACTCTCTGAAGTATTTTGACATTGTTGACACTTCAACCATCTCGCCGAGTCCTGATCTTCATGCTGGAATCAAACCTTTAGCATCCAACTTTATGGAGATTTCAGCTTGTGAATCTTGATTTCTTAATCTAAGTACAGGCAGTTGACATTGATTCATTGACCTTAGAAGCTGCCTGGTTTTTAAATTCTATGCAGATTTATTCCTATTTATTTCGTGAATCAGCATCAGTTCAACAGTGAAACTGAAAAGCGGGTGAAGCCCTAATGGGAAGATTGTAAAGTAAATCTCTTTCTTCTTTGAGTGTAATAAATACTTTATTCCAGTACAACAAGCCATGTACAACATCACTGTGGTGTTTTTTTTTCCTAAGAGATATAGGAGAGACTATAATTCAGCATTATTTTTCAGAACACGACTGGAAACACAAATATGATTCCGACACACAAAAAAGGAATATCACAAGGCTAACTAGTAACAGAAAGGGAAATTTCCATAAACTCAGAATGAACAAAAAAGTGCTTTATTACTTTGTAGTGACATGTCAAATGTTTTGGGAAAGAAACTCAATTTTCTGAAATAACTTGCCATACAGCACAGACACAAATTGGCATTTCTCTTTGCTTTATATGATGTAATGTGACATGACACCTGAAGGTTCAGTCTAATTCCATACTGAGGTTAGGCTTCTCTATTTTCTGCAGTCCCTCCTGTTTCAATGTCACATCCTCCACCTCCGTGCTGAATGTCCCATTTTCCCATGTGGTCTGTGCTGGAGAATCCTCCTCTGGTTTCATCTGCTTACTCTCATCCACTGGAGATTCCACCCTGGGCTTTGGCTTGGTCACCACTGGCTCACACGCGCTCTCTAGCTCCTGGTTGGAGAAATCACCATAACATTAAGACAGTTGGGTCTTTCTGCTTTGTAATACAATCCTAATTTTGTCACCAATTCCAGTAATTGCACCGTTGGTGCCTGTCCTCACCTGAAGCTTTGCATGGATCTCAGAGCTACGCACCACAGGGTCCTGGTCATAGCTGAGTTTGTCCTGTGTGTTTTTCATGTTGGCCAGCCACTCCTGCGTTTCTTTCACACACTTGCTCACTTTTTCCATGTCTTGTGTATCAATGTGGGTGTAGTTATCATCCTAGTCAACCACACATGAAATGGAATCGTCAGGACTAGTGAAAACATATTAAAAGTACTAACCTGAATTTCTGTTAAGTGACGTTTAGATGGAAAAAACTTAACTCTGCATATTCAAATCATCTGAGATGTAGAGGCTCTCACTCTGGCCCAATAGTCTGCAGCCCACCTGGTATTTTAGCATTAGCTGATTGTATAAACTCTTGTAAATATATGCCCAATACTACTTTTTGTATTTGCGACTATGCGTTTACCAGAGGATATAAGTGAATTTGGAAATGAGTTTCATGAAAGTCCTATAGGTATGAGAATAATAATAATAATAATAATAATAATAATAATAATAATAATAATAATCCCAAATAGCTAATTAGCCAATCACAATCTATTGTAAGAAAGCCGAAGTTTGCACAGTTCTGGAAACCCACAGTAATGGCTTTGATAGCTGTATAATGCCTACTGTGGGATTAATATAGAAACCTTCAATTAAACATGACCTCCATATCAAATGCTAATGAGATGGCAGAAGCGTCTTCTTTAATGTCATTTATGGTGCGAAATGAGTGAGTTAAAAATATTTAATACAGACAGGAAAAAAAAATAGGATAGATAAGGAAAACCAAATATATTTACCCCATTCCTGTAGTCCTCTATAATCTTCACATAAGACTGGGTTTTGGACGTGAGCTCTTCAAACAGCTTAGGCCTCTGCTCTGCTTCCTCGTATCTTTCCTGAACAGGCGTGCCTAGTTTCTGCAGAGCAAACAATTGGGCTTTTAACCACAGGGCTAAACCCATGTATGTGAAGCAGTGCTGGCTGACTGTCGGCACCAACAGACTGAACTAGGCGCTCACTGCTGCTGAAGGAGTTCAGAAGTGGCAAACAGCCAGAGCATGCCTAATACAGAGACCACTGAACCAGTCAAATAATATATGCTGGTGTCAAGCAGAATCAATGTGTAATATTACATTGCTCAGCTTTAACTGCAGTCTCATTATCCAGCAGCCGAAATAAGGATCAAGCGCTAGGCAGCATTTCCATTATTGAAGGTTAATGGGTGTGTCTATGCTAATGAATAATGGAAGGCTTACTTGTATTTCTGCCAGCTTGTCCATGTACACCTGTTTGTCCTGATCCTCTCCTTCATCGTATAGCCAGTCCTCTGTCAGAGTCAGCAGCTGACAAAATTTGTCTTGATCCTGAAAAACAGCTGCCATTAGTGCCATACATTCATCTTCAGGTCCCAAAGACACAGAAATAAATTAAATGGCACCATACTATGCAATTCAAGGTAAAAAAAAAAGCAAACTGTTTATGTCCTATTAGAGATATACCAAGAGTATTAGGGAGAATAATGCAACGGTTGTGCATTGTGCATTATCAAATGTAAGTGCATTTAAAAACCATTAATTTATTGCCATTTACAAACAACATAGGAAGAAATTCTGCTTTAAAATCTGATGAATGATTCCTATTCAGATTAAAATCCACTTAAAGAATTATATTTCTGTAATGCCATTCCCTGCAGAAACACAGCAAACACCGGAGCACAGTGAGCCAGTTCATAACACATAATCACAACCATTGTATATATTGATACTTATAAATAGAAATATTTTAATGCCTACTAAGAAAATAGTTTATTTTTGCATTTATGATGTCATCTTTTTATGGGCCAGTACCCCATTGTGGTATCTTAAGAAGGAGGTATGTTACCACTGCACTGAGAAACTTCCGGAAAGGTCCCTCCAGCTTGTGCCTGTAGTAGTATACGTGTTCTTCTACTGCATTTTTAGCATTGTTCCTCTCCTTCTCATGTTGATCTTGTAGTATCATTTCACCCTGAGGGGGGCGGACAGAACATTGATATTCACTGTCATAGTTTGCAAACACTTTTGGTTAGTTACGGATCTGTGTCCATGTCTGAGAGGTTGCGGGTTCAAATGCCACGGCCAGCAGATTAATTGTAACACCTCTGCACGTTTGAGCAAGGCCTATAACACCAATTACTCCAAGGACTCTGGTTGACCCTGTGCTATGACCTCAGAAAAGTTTCCTCAATTGTATGTTGCTTTGGATAAAAGCATCTGCTAAATATCTCAATGTTTATCCATCCATTATCTGCAGCTTATCTGGGTCCGGGTTGCAGGGGCAGCAGTTTGAGTAGAGATGTGCAGACCTTCCTCCCCATCCACTGGGGGAATACCAAGGCGTTCACAGGTCAGCCAAGAAATATAACTCCATTGTGTCCTACATCTGCCCTGGGTTCCCCTCCTGGTTGGACATGCCCGAAGCACCTCCCCAGGGAGGTGTCCAGGAGGTATCCTACATAGATCCCTGAATCATTTCAACTGGCTCTTTTCGATGCAGAAGAGCAGCGGCTCCGCTTTGAGCTCCTCCGAATGCCTGAGCTCCTCACCCTGTCTCTAAGCCTGAGCAGCCCAGATACCCTACGAAGGAAACTAATTTCCACCACTTTTATCTCATTCCCACCACTTTTATCTCATTCTTTCAGTTGCTACATAGAACGTATGATGATACTGTAGGTGAAGGTACAAACATAGACTGACTGGTAAATTGATAGCTTTGCCTTCCAACTCAACTCTCTCAAACCAAAGCAGGCTATGTCTGCATAATTGCTGACATTGAACCAATCTACCTGTCAATCTTCTGATCTATTCTTCCCTCACAAAAGACCCCAAGATGCCTGAACACCTCTGCTTGAAGCAGTAACTCATCCCCAACCAAGACAGGGCAATCCACCCTTTTCTGGTGGAGAACCATGGCGTCAGACTTAGAGATGCTGATCCTCATCCATCAGCCCAGTGTATGCTGGTGGTCACAGCTCGATGAAGCCAACAGGACCACATCATCAAATAGCTATAAACATATTCTTTGACTGCCTTAGACTTTTGCACAGTACTTTTATATATAAGGCATTCTCCCTTGTTGCTCTCATCCAAAAGATCACAGGAGCTGACTGACTATATTAGGGTCCATGACACACCCACCCCTCAGCTCAGACAGTATTTATTTTCTTTTATACCGAAACATAGTAACAATACCTCCATCTGTGCGTAAGTGTTCAAATATTCCTTTCGCAGCTGTTGCATCAGTTTCGCTTTGACAGGCAGACCAACATGCATGGTTTTCATCTTCGGCTTTTTGGCGTCGGGGGGCTGGTGAGCTTTCCACTCTCCATTAAGCTGCTCAGAAGGGAAAACAGATTGCCTGCCTTAATATTTTGCTCAGGAGGACAAAAACAAGGGGCATTAGCTAGACTGCTGGGGCAGCGAAAACAAGAAATAATTGCAGTCACTTAATAATCAGGAGTAATCGGAGGGGTTTAGTATAGCAATATAGCAGTACAGAGTAACCCGTGAGAGTTAGGGGTGGCAGGTGTGATAATGTGACAATTCACAAATAATACTTGGGCACCCTTAACCTCTACTCATAGCAGTCTGCTAACCTGAATGATGACATACATCTATTTATTTCCATTTTCTAAACAAACAGTACTGTACTTTGCATTTCAAATTGCTTTGTCATTTCCTATCTAGATCTTTTTATATACTATACAAACCATCTAAATTATGCCGCTGTGTATACAAAGTTACTACTGCACACACTGGGAGCACTATGTTTTGAAAACTTAAATGCAAAATTAACGGCACTCAAACGTTTAAAAGTTACTGCAAGAAACATGAGATTCCACAGTCACGAAGATAGCTATCACAAAGTCAAGTGAGGCTGGTTGCCAAGACAAAGATGCACGGCGTACCCAAGTCAAGACTTAAGATATGGTTTCACTTAGACTAACAGATATTATGTATCACTAATATGTATATATTAAGCAAGTTTCTGTGATCTTTCAGCAACCCCCAAAAATGTTCCTCTTTAAATATTCACGGCCAACTCGTTCACTTACACTTTGAGGACTGTCACCTTTCTCCACAGAGGGAGACTCTTGCTCCAGCTGTTTTTCTATATCATCAGACAACTGGGAGTCACCTTTCTCCTGTGTCTTGTCCTGGAAGCACAGTTCCAGGGCAAGAGGACTTTACAATCAGCCCCCTTTTCTTTAATGGCCCTGTTTTCATCTATTTTTTTCTAATACAAGAAATATACCACAAAAAGCAATATACCATACAAAGGTTGCACAGTTCCTCTAGTTCAGATCCTAGGCTGCTGTTTTGCCCCGTTAGTCATTATCAAATGTAACATGTTGTCTAACATTCTCCAAAACGTATTTACAGGTATAGTGCTTACTTACTTTCTAGAAACAAACTGGATTTATTTGAAAAGTGGCTTGTGCATTACAGTGCATTGCAAAAGTATTGAAGCCCCCTTACATGAATATATTTGCCTGAATTGTGAATTGTGTCCTTGGTAAGGCAATGTTTTGCATCTCTGTCTTTCCTCTTTCATACATACAGGGCAGTGGTGGCTTGATGGTTAGGGTAGCGCACTTGTAATTGAAAGATTGCAGGTTCGAGTCCCCCACCAGCAAGTCACCACTGAGGTACCCTGAGCAAGGTACCATCCCCAAGCACTGCTCCCCGGGCGCTGAATTAGCTGCCCCCTGCTATGTCACGAAAGTCACATATGGGTCAAATGCAGAGGTCACATTTCGTTGTTGCACACTGTGTGCTGTTGACAATGACCATTAAATTAAAAAATTAAATTAAAAGGAAGAATATGTGTCATTTGTAATTCAGGCAAATGTGATCATTTTAAGGGGGATTCAGTACTGTAAGACAGCTTGTATGTGTTGCATCTAATGAGAATATATTGGAAAGTAGCAGACAGACTGGACAGGTTTATTCCTCTATGAGTCTCCTGGTACCTGAGCATCAAGTTCATCAATTGCTTGCTGCGTGATGGCCTCTTCCTCCAGGCTTTCTGCCCTGCAAGCCTTGTAGTCTTCCTCTTTCACTTTCTGCACTAGGGCAGCTGAGGACACACTAACAATCCCATTGGCATTAATTTGCACCTTCACCTTCACTTTTGATAGCTCTCCATCATCCTGGGTAGATACGTTTAGAACTGCAAATTCACCTGAGTAGGAGGGGAATCCCATTTAGAGCTAATGAACAGAGTATACATTTCCTGAGAAAATATTCTGACTACAGCTAAAAACAGAAGCTGTGTGTGATACTTACCAATCTTTGACTCAGGGTATGGTAGTGATGATGGGTCTGAATAAGACACTTCAAGAATAAAAGGGTTTTTCCTATAGAATGTGATAATTTTTGAGAATGGAATCGCATGATTTTTCCCAAAGACTTCATGACATCTAGATGGGGACCGAAGACATTACAGTTAAAAATGTGCAGCTTGGCAAGTAACATTAAACAATCAACCACGTATTTAGGTTAGCCAGAACTGCAACTTTTGATCTTACCCTTTTAACTCATCTCCCTCAGTAGACCAGGAGAGGGATATTGGGAATGGGGTGACGTCTGTGATGGAAAACTCACGGACTTTAAATGCAGGTGAAAGCATGGCACACTGGATGGAGTAGAAAGACACAGAATCGCCAACATGTGATCAGTGTCCTTATATTATAGATTTGATTTTTTTAATAACATACATTGTGACTGTAGTAGAGCTTACTTGCAGAGCGCAGCCCCTAGCCACTGCCTCATCTGCGTTTAACGTAGAGCTTACGTCCTTCCCAAAGAACTTGGCGATCTTTGCGCGGACAGCAGGGATGCGGGTGCCTCCCCCCACAATCTCTACAGCGCTCACGTTCTGGACTTGCAACTCAGCCTGCTCCATCACTGTCACCAGAGGAACTGTGACACGCTCGATCAAGTCCGCGCACAACTCCTCGAAATGGCTTCTATGGGAATGCAGACAAAAATGCTTGTCATGCTGGCCCAAAAAGGTTGTGAGACATCTTTTGACACAAATAATTTGATATGTACTAAAATGGTTCAAGAAAACTAACTGGAGAAGGTGTGTGAGCGTGAATATGTGTAATGTTTTCATAATGGTAATCTTCTGTAGTACTGCTGCTAGGAACGATATGGATTTTCTATTCAACATTCTGTTCAACCATTCTATTCAACTATTCAACATTAGCAAATGTAGTCAGTTAGCACTCTTTGGTTTTATATACTACGTCCAAGTCCAATTATCGAAGCCAATCCATGGTAGGAATTTATATATTTTTAGTATTTATGTATTTTTTTCCACGCCATGATATTTGTGTGTGATCATTTTAATTATGTGCATGTAAAGCTTATGTCTTAGTACAGTACATCTTCACCATATGTTCCTTAGCTAGAGAATATGGAGTTGCTCATACCGGTTCATCTTTCCTGAGACATCTTTCTCATCAATTAAACACTCAATATTAAGGGGAATGTCCATAGAGCTGCTACTCATCAGCTTCTTCAGCTTCTCACATTCCTGCTGGAGACGTAGTAGAGCTCGAACCCGTGACTTCACATCCAGTTTGTACTTAGCATTAAACTCTGTGCAGAAGTACTCCACCAGCCTCTGATCAAAGTCCCTACCTCCAAAATGAGTATCGAATGCTGTTGCTAGAACCTGACAAGGACAAAGACAGATTTAGTAGCTGTTTCATTCGAAATCCTTCACTTTATCCATTGTTTACCTTTAGCTTTCCTTTTTTAAATGCACAGGCAGACACTTGAAAGGCTGAGTGGCCCATATCGACAAGAATCACAATTTTTGGTTTTTCATCTGGGGATGGAAGGTCCTCCTTGTATATTCCATAACTTAACGCAACTGATCAGGGAAAGGAGAAGAGGAAAAATGTGTGACTTCAAAGTCACTATTGTTACAATCACACAAGCAAAACTTCTGAGTATAATACCTGCTGTGGTATCATTCATAAGCCTCAGGCAATTTAATCCAGCAATCTGAACAGCATCCAGCACACGTCTCCTCTCTGCATCAGTGAAGAAGGTAGGAACCTTTGCATCACAAATAATTTGAATGTTAAAAAAAAAGATATTCGTAATGCATCCAGAAATTTGTAATTCAGATTTAGTCATTGTTTCCATGGATATTAAAATAATAATTTGGACATAATTTAAAAATATCTTTGGAAATGGAATTTAATTGTATTCACTGATCCATTTCCATTCTAATAGCTGAATGAGCAAGTGAAGTGTAATGACTGCATCTGTCATGCATTTGTTCCATAGAAGATTCCAGAACACTCACAGATATGACACAGTCTACCACTTTCTTCTGTATATTAGCCTCAGCTGTATCTTTCAGCTTTGTCAGGAGCATAGCAGTAAGCTGCTCTATACTGAACTGGTGTTCCTTGTCCAGATACATGACCTAAAACAAAAACAAGACATTCAAAATATAGAAAGCCATACTGCCACTTCCCACATCTCTAAGTTTCCCCAGGAAAAAATAATGTAGGCTAACATGACGTTTAGACATAACCAACCAGTATCAAAATTATACTTCAACACACGCAATATAATCCCAAGGCTAGGAAATACTTATTGGATATGATTTTACGCAGCATCTAGTTTTATGGATCTTAATGCAAGGCCATTTAGAAGGGAGGGCCTATGTAATTCATACATGCAAATGTTTCTTCTGTCCATACTGTAAATCCAGTTAACACCACATAAAGTCATGGGGCATCTCCTTGTACATTTGCAAATCAAAAGTAGAGTGAAATCAAACCGAAGTCAATCATGCTGCTGCAGTGCTTGGATGTGCAGGCCTCTCCAGTAAAAATGCTCACCTTGGCTCCAACTCTGCCATCATTTACTGGGACCAAGTCATAGGGCACATTAGCCCTCTCACTCTGCACAATGATGTCATCAAAAGACCGGCCATGAAATCTCTTGAAGTTGAACACAGTGTTCTTGGAATTCGTAATCAGCTTAAAAAAAATAAAAAATCTTTAAGAAATTACCATACCATATCCTGCTAATTATACATTTGGAGGGGCTATTAAAAGTTATCAGGAAAAGACTAGTCATTGTTTCTCTGTAAATACAAAAAAAAGTTGAACTCCATTTGATGAATTACTTTCATTATCAATTGGATCTAATTCCACCAGTTCTACAGTACAATAAAACCGTGCATAAATTATACAATTTCCCAGTTAAAATAATACTCAAGATGAATATGCAGTTTCTGCATAGATTTATCATTACCTGATTTTTTGCTTCATTTCCAATGTTTCTGTTTTTGGAGCCAAAGGACACAACAGCCCTGTGGGAATTAATATAAATATTTTATGCATAATAAAAAACTAAAACGAAATCCATAGATAATAAGTAATTCGGCCTGGCTTTGGTACGTTGGCTTATGCAGTATACATCCACCTCCATACTCTTCGGTCACTACTAAACAGAAAATATGAATCATGTCTTTTAAAAAGTTATGTGGAGAAAACTGGTTTTGTTTTAGCTTTAGGATGCCAGATTTTCTCTAAACAAACTCATTAGCAGATGGTCCCATGGACATTTCACCATCATCTGGTATTTTCGCAAGGGACTTAAACTGCGGCTCTTTGCAGCAGGGCTGTGCACCATTCAGAACTGAATTGAGAATGGCCCTAAAATTCCAATTCAATTCCTGAATTTGAATTGTGGTTCAAAGTAGGATGCAATCCAAATTAGAATTTAAGGAAGTAGAATTAAAATGGAATTCAAATATTCAGATACATAGTGTAGATGCAGTTTGAAACAATAAAGCTTAACATTTTAATATGAACTGCACATAAACATGTTAACATCCATAGCATGTATTGTATAATTGTTACAAAAATCTCATGTTTTTATATTGAAATGAATGTGACATTTGAAGAGTCACTTTTAAAACTATTATTTTGTGAACCATTGTGGATCTTCTCATAGGAAAATGACTGATTGTGCAACGTAATCATATCCTTTACTTTAGTTGTTATGTCTTTAGCTCTGGTGTGGCTAATTTTTATTGATAAAGTTTAAATATGGGCAATACTTACTCATCAGATCAATACCAGTATCAGTCGATACTGATATGCTAACTGATATATCGTGCATTTCTGCTTATTGAGATTGTTGAATGTAGATTTCTGTACAATTTTGATGAGAGAAGAGTTCACTGCAACAGAAATCCATTGATATTCTACACTGACTGTATGTTTTTAGGAGGGACAGCCCAATCTGTTTTATTGCTGCTTATTTATGCATTCAAAAAGACTTAGGGGGTATTCCAGAGAGCAGGTTAGGGTTTAAAACTTAATACCAACATGAATGAGTCTGAAACAACAGAAATATAATTATTGGTTGAGAAATGCTGATTACATCTTCAGGGATTGAGTTTACTCAAGTTTGACTCTGTTAATGTTAACTGAAGCATGCATGATCTTCTGGAACAAGAAGAAGTAATCGTCAGCAGATTGTTGAAAATACGATTCACCATGGAAATGCACATTGCAGTTGTATGCCTGAGAAGTCATCTCTGTGGTCTGCAAAGTGGAGGGGTTGTTCATCCTCTGCCTCAATGTGTGGTACAGCAGGATGGGACTCTTGCCTGACTGGTAATATTATGCAGTACCACACATGTCACAGTAATGGCTCATTGGGGTGACTCTGAGACCACTGGAACTGGGCCTTGAGTATCCCTATAGTCATCGTAACCCTGGGTCTGGTCGTACTACTGTATAAGCTAGGTTGAAGTGTTTCAGGTAAGGGGTCTTCAGGTAGGGGTACCCTCTGGTCCCAAGAAGGAAACCATGCAACAGTTGTATTACAGTGGGATATACATTTCCATTTGTTTTCAGGTGTAAGTGAGCAAGACCAAATGGCATTCAACTACACTGCCTGGCCAAAAAAAAACGTCACCATTTGAATTTACATCAGCATATACATAAGAACCAATGACTGGATGATTATTACAGCTCAGCAACATTATGCAGCAATAAAGTAAAGTCAGCTGAGTATCTGAATCTACTGAATGGCCAGGTTACACCTCCATCCATCATCAATGGATTTTTTTCTTCCCTGTTGGCATGGGCATATTCCAGGACAAGAATGCCAAGTTTCATTGGGTTCGAGTAGTCCAAGAGTGGTTCAGGGAGCATGAGGAATCATTTTCACGTATGACTTGGTCAACACCTTAACCTCATTGAAGGTCTTTGGGATGTGATAAAGGAGGCTTTATGGAGGGGTTCAACTGACTTGTCAATACAGGATCTCAGGGAGAAATGAATGCAAATCTGGATGAAAATAAAGAGTGAGATGTTGCATAAGCCTGTGGAAACAATGCCATGACAAATGTGCGCCATAATCAAAGCTAAAGGCGGTCCAACGAAAAATTCAACTGACAACTTTTTTTTTGGCTGGGCAGTGTATTTTTGCTATTCATAACTTGAACTGGACTCCCTAAGGAGGTTAGAAAGGTATCAAATGTTGCCACCTACAAAACCAGGCTTAAAACATTTCCATTCCACAGTGCCTTTGATTAGCACTGCTAGTCAATATTGATGCTTTATCTTTTACTTTTATTGTTTTATTTGTAATAAAATGCCATGGGGAGACTAACTTGCGAGGCGTTTTCTGCCTTGCTCCATCATACACACACTCAAACGATGATGTCTCAAATGAATTAGCATGTTGGATGTGCTTCCAGCAACAAAGACTGACCTAGGCTTGGCATAACAGAGGTGACAGACAGTCTTGGTCTTGTCAAACAAATGTTCCCAAACTGCTGATTATGACTGTCTGTACCCAGATAACAGTCAGTATTAGCATAATGGTTTCCATGTTTATCAGCTGCTTGTGAATTTAGGTTGTAGCCATGTCAAGAAATGTGTTGATTCATTTGGCGTTCCAAGCCAAAAACGATATAACCGAATGGCACATGGTGAATATGTGCACCATCACAGCCCTACCCCGGAAGCAGAGATCATCCTATGTCAATCTGCACTATGCCTTTCCTCTTCCCGCCCCTCCCCCCACCCGCAAGTTCAACAGCAGTGAATTAGCATAACATTCAGTAAAACATTCCAGTTGTAATCTGGTTGTTTCGATTTCCTGAGACTGAACTCACCCTATTTCTCATTTAAAAGTAGGATCCAGGGGAGACTGGCAGATAAAAGCAGGTGAATAATACTTCATCAGCCCAGTGGATGCATTTGAGTTAGTTCTATATTTTGAGAGGTTTTTTTTATTGTAGCCTACTGTAGCTGTTCAGTTGTACATTTGAGATTTTCAAGGAATAATGTTTACTACTGAGTTCACATTTGTAGATGTCATTTACATATAGTAAAGATTTCAACCAAATATCTACAAAGTTAGGGTCATACTCTTATTAACTAATTAATATGCCTTGGTCAGCCCACAAATTGATTTTTAAATATGGTGCTTTCAGTTGCTGAGTCTGACACCCTAGATGTAGACAGTCAAGGGTATTAGTGAATCCTACAATATTTAGACAATTATATTTATTTACAGTGATAAATCATCAGGTGCCATCACCAATACACATTTCTGTAATAAACAACACACCTGCAATTTGGCGGAACTATCCTAATTATTGTCAGAGGTCATGTCAACGGCAAAAATAAGTAATACCCTTTTGAAAGCTAAATATATTTTGCCCAGCATGCTGCTGCTTGTCAGAATGTTTGGCATCTCTTGTATTACGTAACAGGTTGACCAGATAATCTGTGTCAGGGAGGACACTTTAAGCTAGAGCAGGATTTATAAACTACCATTTCAATTAAAAGAACCTGGATTTCACTTCAGCATTGAGTTCTTGTGCTGTGTTGAATGATGTGTAACTAATGTTGATATTGAAACAGCTGGATGAATCTTTCATTCAAGAAAACAAACCAGTCAAAGTATTAGAAGAACTGAAATATTTTAGCCAAGCACAGAAGTCAGTTTTACAGTAGTTTATAAAACTTGAAGTAACTCAAGTGTCCTCCATTGCATGGATTATCTGGTCACCCCAATATGAGAAACTTTCAGTAGGGAAAAAATGCAAGGCGATATATTAAGTTTCTAAATATGTGAGTGCAGCTGGTGTGTGAAATCTGAAAATTGGTGCTCAAATATTTAAGATAAATTTGAATCAAATCAAATTACACTTTATTGATCCCATGGGAACAATACTGAATAAATCATGGAGTGGATGAAAAACAATACCATTAACAAAGATATTCGCTGGGGAATGCAAAGAAGCTCCGCGGATTAGTTCTGCCACTATATCGACCGTCTCTTGAAGAAATAAGCACGCCAAATCAAACTGCCAGTGAAAAATGGCTAAAGCCTGCTCAAAAAGTCACTAAATGTTGCAGCTCTGGTCATGAGTTTGAGCCTGGCTAGAAACCAGCCTCATCTGTTTATTTGTATTTATTGGATTATTGTTCCCCAGTGTTTGAGTGTTTGTTGTTGTTTTTTTTAGTGTTCTTGTCCTAGGTTTGCCTTGCTTATGTTCTGTTCTGGTTTTGCTTTAATTATCCTTGCAATGTATCCCTGTGTATGGTTTATGTTTCTGTATTAAGTGTTTCAGTTTCCACCTGTTGCTTGTTGTCCTGTGTTTTCATTGATTGGTTAATTTGGTTATTATTCTCACCTGTCCTGCATTATGTGTCATTAGCCTTGTGCGTATGCCTGCTCCTGCTCCGGACTGGATGCCCCAACAAATTTGTCAACATACTGCGGCAGTTTCATGATGGAATGACCTCTAGGGTGACAATAGGAGGACAAAAGTCTGCCCCTTTTCCTGTGCAAACAGGGGTTCGGCAGGGGTGTGTACTAGCACCTGTACTCTTTAACATGATGGAAACCTCTTCAGCATGAGGAGGCTGCAAGCAACCACCAAGCTCCACAGGGTGAAGGTCCTTGAGCTACAGTATGCAGATGACTGTGCTCTTGTGTCTCACACCCCACAGGACCTCCAGACTGTCCTTGATGCAGCAGTGAAGGCAAATAGCATATTGGGGCTGACCATCAACATCGCCAAAACAGAGGTAGTCTGTCAATGGCTGTGCTGTGATTACCACTATGCCTATATTTACATGCTAAATGATCACTCTGTGATTTTTAAGTTTGTCCTAGAAGTTGTTAGATTTGTTGCTCGTCACTTTTTTGAAGAAAAAAAAAAGTTGCTAAATTGGAAATAATGAGGATGACTGAGCTGCAGCCCCCCTGCCCGGCAAACCAGAATTACTGTCAACGAAGCCTGCTCTCGAACTCTCAAATAGGTTTGGTTCATTGCATTTGTTGCCATGGTAATTAAGTGATGCTCACTAATCTTGGTTTCTGCAACGGAAATTGATAAGGTTTACGCTACTAATTCTAAATTACTGACTAAACTCGCATACTCAGACCATCTAGATAGACCACATGGAAGCAGTAACACGTGCTTTAATAAATAGAAATTAGTGGGCGATGACGTTCGGCTGAAAACTAAACTCTGTCACAACCTATTGAAACTATACTGTAAACCTATAATATATTTCATGAAAAGCATACAGCAAAAGAAACAGTAAGTGTTGATACCTTAGCTTAATTTTAAACTAGGCTACATTAAATAACTAATCAATTTCTCCCGACTCCGAAACAAAAAATGCTGAACGTTTGGGTCATTCCATTGCAAATCATCACACTTTCGGACCTCATCGTCATGGATTTTAACAAAATTTGGCATGCACATTTGGTCACATAAGTAAGTCATGAAACTGAAACTGGGCATGTCTTGGATCAATATTGAGGGAGATTTAAGCAAACAAAATTTTAACTTTTTTCGGGGGGGATTATGACTGGCTATATTTACCTTAATGTAAGCTGCACAGAAATGGTCTTCATATTGTTTTAAAGCTATTGTCCAGCTCTATATATTGAACAAATAATATGCCATCCCCATATGAATAATTACTATGTGATAACTGATTAAAATATTAAAAAATAAATACCAAAAAAGAAACATATTTCAAAATTGATTTTTTTTTTACTAAAATTAGCTCATAATGTCATGAACATCTCCAGATAATTTGGTCTTTGAGTTGTTGCTGAAATATGATTACTTATCTGAAATGTGTATCAAAACCACAACTCCTTACAATGCTGAATAGCAGTTAATGATCAATGCATGGTACAGAATTATTTTTCATGACAACTACAACTATTGCCAGAACTAGCTGTGGGAATATACACTCACCTAAAGGATTATTAGGAACACCTGTTCAATTTCTCATTAATGCAATTATCTAATCAACCAATCACATGGCAGTTGCTTCAATGCATTTAGGGGTGTGGTCCTGGTCAAGACAATCTCCTGAACTCCAAACTGAATGTCAGAATGGGAAAGAAGGGTGATTTAAGCAATTTTGAGTGTGGCATGGTTGTTGGTGCCAGACGGGCTGGTCTGAGTATTTCACAATCTGCTCAGTTACTGGGATTTTCACGCACAACCATTTCTAGGGTTTACAAAGAATGGTGTGCAAAGGGAAAAACATCCAGTATGCGGCAGTACTGTGGGCGAAAATGCCTTGTTGATGCTAGAGGTCAGAGGAGAATGGGCCGACTGATTCAAGCTGATAGAAGAGCAACTTTGACTGAAATAGCCACTCGTTACAACTGAGGTATGCAGCAAAGCATTTGTGAAGCCACAACACGCACAACCTTGAGGCGGATGGGCTACAACAGCAGAAGACCCCACCGGGTACCACTCATCTCCACTACAAATAGGAAAAAGAGGCTACAATTTGCACGAGCTCATCGAAATTGGATAGTTGAAGACTGGAAAAATGTTGCCTGGTCTGATGAGTCTCGATTTCTGTTGAGACATTCAAGTGGTAGAGTCAGAATTTGGCGTAAACAGAATGAGAACATGGATCCATCATGCCTTGTTACCACTGTGCAGGCTGGTGGTGGTGGTGTAATGGTGTGGGGGATGTTTTCTTGGCACACTATAGGCCCCTTAGTGCCAATTGGGCATCGTTTAAATGCCACGGCCTACCTGAGCATTGTTTCTGACCATGTCCATCCCTTTATGACCACCATGTACCCATCCTCTGATGGCTACTTCCAGCAGGATAATGCACCATGTCACAAAGCTCGAATCATTTCAAATTGGTTTCTTGTACATGACAATGAGTTCACTGTACTAAAATGGCCCCCACAGTCACCAGATCTCAACCCAATAGAGCATCTTTGGGATGTGGTGGAACGGGAGCTTCGTGCCCTGGATGTGCATCCCACAAATCTCCATCAACTGCAAGATGCTATCCTATCAATATGGGCCAACATTTCTGAAGAATGCTTTCAGCACCTTGTTGAATCAATGCCACGTAGAATTAAGGCAGTTCTGAAGGCGAAAGGGGGTCAAACACCGTATTAGTATGGTGTTCCTAATAATCCTTTAGGTGAGTGTAATTTAAATTGAAAAATTTAAAATTACTATGAAAAATGAATAAAAAGACAACATTGCCAAACCGGAAAAAAAGAGAATTGATGGTACAATCAGAATAGTTTATTTTCTTCTTTAGTTTACACTTTTGACTAGATACTGGCCTACTAAAAAGGGCCTTCATTTGTCAAAAACCTGAAAAAGTAACAAACATAAAAAAACTAGATAGGCTTTTATGCTACTAGGGCAAGGAAAGAATTTCAACATTGGTGTAATAATGCATAACTTATATACAAGCAGTACCATTTAAAGGGAAAGTAGGAATGTAAGAACATACAATTGCTATATTCTCAATTTATAGTCCATCAGAGCCTTTGATGCAGTTATTGTGTTTGCTTGAAATTGTGTATGTCTATCCTGCTGTTGTCACAGGCTGAACTACTAAAAGCACATCCTGATGATCCATAACAAGTCTATCAGAATGGCATGGGAATGAATGGAGGTCCATAAGAATGTTGAAAGTATGATGATTTGACATGGAATGACCCATTTGATTGATTGGAAATAAAAATGACATTACTTTCTTTTCGGTCCTTACCTTTCTGAAGATGATGCGATATTCAATAACCATTATTCCAAAAGCGGCCATTGGAAATTTGTGGATGAATCTGCATGACCGCTAATATTAAGCTACACTTTTATTTATTGACATTTATGTCAATCTGATGAATATTATGTATTTATATTTTAATATTACTACATTTACATTTATATCAATATTATTTAGCTTGCTATATTTCGTGCACAATTATTTGATAGTCTGTTTACTTTAAGGTAGGCTACATATCGCACAGGAATCCCAAGAACTATTCAGTCATACGTAGGCCTATTATTGGTTACAAATGAAATATGTTATAGATAAAAAATACACTGATAACTCATTTAATTGTATAAGATATAATGTAGAAATTAAATGATAGTAAAGATGTAATAGTGACATCCATGACAAAGCAAAAAGTAATAACTTACGGCGTGCATCTGTCTGTAAATTCATTTGCCACCGTTTCAATTCCTCCACCTTTGGCTACAGCGATGTAATTGTTCTGAAATCCAATATCAAATCCAACAACTGCCATATTTTAAATCCATCCAAGTAATCTGGACTGTCAACGAGTACACTGTGTATAGTAGCCTACGTTTAGTTTCTTCGGATGAGGATATTCCTTCAACACTCTGCAATCAGAGGGTTGGGTTTCTCCTCTAACCATTTATATGAACTTCTTAGAAAGTTCCTGATCCTTGCAGAAGTCTCTTGAATCCCCATGAATGTGCGGCCGCTGCTTTATTTCTAGATCTTTCTGAGCAGTGAGAAAGTAACAGGGACAGTACAGTGCGGCTGGTTTTTTTCCGTTGTTGCTTTGGCAACAAGACGCCCGAATTTGCGCAGTTCTACTGCGCATGCGTCATTCATAATATTTCAGAGTTGTGTTTTGTACAGAAAACGGGTTCAAATCTACCCGTGGTCTAAGTTGGCAGTGTTTATGAGGTATGGGGAAATGAAGGCTGTGGCTCGAAAGAAAACTGTGGATGACTCCAAAATTTACCAGAAGCTGGTATTTTCGTAATTTCGAAACGCAGTGTAAGATTTTTGCTTCCGAAAGGTCCAGGGTTTATGTTCTGAGATTTCTTCTCAAATGCTTAAGTAAGCAAAAGGTAAGTAGCGAAGTCGGTCAGCACAAATGGAGCATAAACATCGCTGACATGCACGTCGTGATAACTAGACGCAACACGCGTCGCCGTCATAAGTTGGACGGCCGTCGCACAGTTGGGCCGGTAGAGGGCGTGCCCGTGCCGTGTCGGCGCGGCGGCGGGTGGCGCCAGCGCGCGGTCAGAGTGTGGTTCCGCGGGAACGCTCCGCACGGAACGTGTCTTTTTCCTAATCGGGGACTGACACGTCGCCGGCTCACACCATGATCCCCCGTAACTACCCCGTCGGGAGCAAAGTGGCTTTTGCTTTGGTTTTCCTCTTTTCCTGTAAGTACTGCTCCAGTTCCTGTTCTCATCGGTAGTTTTGGTCATTTATCATTATTTTTATTAAATCGCAGAGCTGCCAAAAATCGGGAAAAGTAGACGTGCTTGAAAGTGTATGGCTGTAGCTGCCGGTTTTATGGCTGTAAGAGCCTGGGAATTTCGGAGAAGTCTGAGGAGGTGGCGGGCTGACTTAGCAGAGCGTGGAAGCAGGACTTCGGTCACAGAAACCTCGGGAGGATGAAAGGCTGTGCGCTCTCAGTTCACAACAGGCCGGTCTTTGCGGCTTTTTAATGCCCCTCTTATCTTTGCATACTCTCTTCGTCAGTGAGCGCTTGCACAGAAGTTTCCGTTTCGGCTTTATGTTGAGACATTTGACGTAGTTTTGCCACTTCTACTTAACTTGCTGCGAAGGAAACGATGAAAAATATCAAAATGTAGAGAAAATGTCGAGTAGTGTTGCTAGTGTAAATCAGTTGTCTACTATTATCGGATGTTATGCCGCTGAGAATTAAGCGAATTAAATTTGTAATTATCACGTAAAATGTGTTCGGTTGCGGGTTTGCGATTTCCTTGGGCGAAATTGTCGGTTAAATTGAAATGTAATCGATGTAAAGTGTTAGATCCGTTTTGTTTTTATGGATTATAATCTTTTAGAAAGAAGTTGCAACTTAATATTAAGGTGTTTGTATGGGATGTTTTATTTGTATTGACATTTTCACCAAGAGGCACAATAACGGGAGTTTGAAATATGTAAGGCAGATTCAATATCGCTAACTTTAAATTTACAGCGTTTCATAATACATGCACTTGCCTAACGATTCATGTACCGGCGCTGAGAAAGTTGGTGGGAAAAACGTATTAAATTTTTTGGAAATTTTTCGCGGGGCCTCAATTACGTATTGAAATAGTGTCGTTTTATTCGCCGTTTTTAATTGGCTGACCGACGGTCAGTATAAATCACATTGCAACCTGTCATCTCCGTTAAACAGTCATTTTAGGAAGAGCATTATTTTTCTCACTCCTCAGCTTCATCGATTGTTCCAGTGCAGTTGGGTTGCGTATGTGAGCCAGATCAGTGGTCTGGTTATTTTTCACTTAATTATGATCCGTCTGTCTGCGATACGAAAACACTTAACAAATCTGACCTTAATCCACCTTTCGGATTATGACAGTATCTTAATCTCTCTTGTTTTTTTGTACAAGATAGAGCGGAAATTAAACCGAGCCGTCTTTGCTATTTTCCTCTTAGATCTTAACGTTAATTTGAACGGACGTAACGATTTTTGATATTCAATTACACTGTCATGAAATATTAAACTTAATTTTCGATGGAAAGGAAAGCAGATCAGGTTCTCTATATCCGGTGTTACCAATTTTTAATTACAGGAGTTGTATTTAAAGGCACATTGGTGTAATGGTGTTGAAATTTAAAAGGTAGCTAATTCTGTCCCTGGTGCTATTTTAAAAAGGAATAAATTCACCCACAACCACTATTATACAGTTTTTTGCAGCCCATTTGTTTCAAGACCAGTTTATTCTTCATTAGGCCTAATTGATGTTTTTGCTCAAACGTTTGCAATGCCAGGCCTAGATATTTAACCAAACAACCCAAAACGCAAGAGTAGATGGAGACGTGAGTTTGGAGATAAGACATGAAGCATTAATTTGGTGATCCTTAATGAGACCTTGGAGGACTGAATGCTCTTCCTGCAGAGTATGTTTAGAAATCCTTATCACAGACTAGATCTCGCTTGTAACCTAACACAAGATCCAATGCTTTTTAATGCAGAGAGAATTAAAATTATTGTGGCTGTCTCCATGCAGGGTTTTGTATTTAATTACTTGTGGCACTGACCTTTTTCACACTACCTGAATACCTGAATGTGGTGTCTAAAGGCACCCCCCTCCCTTTTTGCTCTGCATTTTGTATATTTGAACCTGTCAGGGCCCTCTCAATGCCTCATTTGTAACCGGAAGAATAGGGCACATCTCATCTACTTTACATTCAATGAAAAGGTAGGATGTGTCCTCTGCAGTGGTCTGTCCTCCCTCCCCTGTTATTGATAAATACCAGGGATGAGTGCTGCATGTTCTCTGCCAGGAGCTGGAGTTAAATGTAGGGCTTAAACTGCAATTGGGGGGGGCACTCCAGAAAAGAGAGTGATGTGTAAAATAAGGCTGCTGGCACAAATGTCTTGGGGAGGGTTACTCAAAAATTACAACCCCTCCGCCCTTCATCTGAACATTTCTTTCGAGGACGTCTGCTCATTGAGACAGAAGTGCTTGTGATACAAATTATGAAAATATTATTTAATGGGCATGTGTTAACAAAATAAAGATATTCTCCCCAAAGGGCATATCTCAATGTAACAGGTTCCATTGTCGTCCACTGATGCATCTGTGAGACCTGTTAACTGTGCATTGAACTGGGATTTGTACTGAAAATGATTTTTTTTTTTCTCCCGTTCTGCTCCTGTTACTTCCCCTGCATATAACCTCAAAAGATGTTGCTGGTTTTTTTTTTTTTAATTGGAAAAAATTGTTCCTGTGAAAATAAGAATGAACAGGGGTTTGAGTTTTCATGATTAACTAGCAGTTTTACTGCAGTGAAAAAAATCTTTGGCAAGGTGTTTTTGAGCCATTAAGACATTGACAGCCCATGAAATATGGAATCTGTAGGATGCCTGTTTGCAAGGTCTGCCTGCAGATGTTCTAAAATGACTACCCTGCCATTCTCTGGGGAAGTCGGCTCATCTTATCTGGCACATGAAACAGCAGAGCAGTAATGTCCACCGCTTTAGTGATTCTCTTGGCACTGGTCAGAGTATTACAATGAGCACTCGTACAGGGTCATGCAAGTCTGTTTATTGGAATCTTTAGTGTTCACATTTTGTAAAGAGGATGAATTTAGATCAGACTGTAGTGCTGCAGTGTCAAGACGTTTTCCATATTTCACATGGTGTCCTTTATGTGCCTTGAACTGAATGTTAGTTTGTTCAATAGTTTTTTTTTTGCGGGTGCTATTCTGATATGAGAAGGATCTACTAATCCCAGCCCTGTCAAGGAGGTAGGAATGAAATTCTTAGGATTATTTTTGTGGTTAAATTAATTTGCTGTTTGCTATGATGATTGGTGAATGTCTACTCCCTTATGGAGTCGCCAGAAATGTGTTTCTATGATGCTCCTGCATAATGGCTTTCTGTGGTCCTACCAACCGCTGGTGGCAGGTCAAATGCAGCCTCTGCCCAGAAAGCTAAAGGCAGCATTCCATCCTAGCACTGAACTCCTGCATCACTTGAGTTTCACTGGAAGGTTTAAGTGAAAGTTTATTGAAAGTTAAGAGAAGACATTTAATATAGGTGGTGGGGGGACACTGCACCCTAATTCGTGTGCATTGTCTTGCTGAAGTTACAAATTATACAGCACAGAGGCCTGTACAACCTTGACTATATCCACTTACTTGTGGTCTGTGAAAGCCGACTCAAAGAATTTCAAAGAATTGTTCTTAACCTGTGGGTGTTTTGTATCTATTTTTTAATAATTGTGCATCAATGCTTTTTCTGTATGCATACTTAAGTCTATAATTTATTATTCATGTGACTGCATTCACTTTCATTAAATTTGTTTACATGGATTTCCTCCTGCTGGATGGATAAGCAGCTTGGTGGCAGCTAGAGTGCAGAGGTTGTTTGCTCTTCAGATGTCTCCATTATTGTATTATGCTGTGCATTGTTGTCTGTCATTTGTGCACTTGGCTTAAAGAAAAAGCTGGGGAAAGTGAGTCTGTGATTGCCCACATGTAAGTCTCAGCTGTAGTGTGTGTGTGACAGTGAATAAATAAAAGTCTGATGCTCTCAAGATGGGAATCTGAATGCAGTCCAGGCCCTGAGAGGTCTAAACATCTCCACTATCCATATCAGAAGCTGTACACTGTGCTCACTATTTTTCCAAGTATGTAATGCCTGAAGGTGCACTTCCTTAAGAATATCTGTATAATAAAAAAAAATTCATAGCATAGTCATGTTTAATAATATCCTTGTTTGCATTTTTCACCAAGTGGGGTCCAAAATGAACACTGTGTCTGCGTTGACATTCATTTATTTAAGACACTTTTGTAAAAAGACATAGTAGTAGTCTTTATGTGCATGCTTAAAGTTGCCTGTCAGATGATTTGTTTTATTTATAATTAATTTAAGTGAACCTCAGTTATTTAAACTGCACTGGGATCTGCAGTGGATTCAAGTGTATTTAGAGTGTGTGGAATAATGTGTGAGAGGCACAACAGGCAGTATGTGTCAGATAAGTTCTTAGCACTGTGTCAGTACTGGGGCTCTGAGGCTGGAGCCTGGCTATACAGGTATTGCGCTGTGCTTTCAAAGAAGCTCCACATATAGACCATGATAATCCAGGTCCACCCACAGTGCTCTGCAGCTCTGCCTCCATAGCCCAGGAACAGCAGCTTTCCTGTCTTCAGCTGATGGCTGTCGGCCTCATCCGGAGTTTATAACGTGGCATTTACTACCGAAAGTGCTTCCTGAACTGAAAATGTCAGCTTAATTTAGTGGTGTGCTTTAGAGTTACTAGGTACTGCATGCTGTAATCTTGTTTCTGGAATTGTGCTGTAATTTCTGGTTTTAAATGTATTTCCGTTGGAAATATTCTTGCTGGTCAAACTGTGTTACAGTGTTTCATAACACATCTTATGGGTAACTTAAGAAACGCTATGCCTTTATTTTGTCTGGGGGTAGAGCATTGAGTTTTTTTTTCCTTATAGTACAGTATGAGCATATTTTTTACATATAGGAATAAGTACTACAAAAGCCTTAGACACAAGGCTCTGTCATTGGGGGGGGGCATTTGAGGGCCCAAGGCCACCCCCTAAGGAAAGACCCCCCCCCAGGACATCATCTATTTAATTTTTATTCAATTTTTTTAACGGCATTCATCTTAAAACAAATAAATCTGGCCTTTCTCAGAGGCATGGCTACAGATCGACCTACCCA